CTTTCTTAGTCTCTTTTTTTACTTGCTTCATCCTTACCTCCCCCTCCTTTCGTTACACTTAATTAGTAAGCAATTTCAGTAACGAACCAGCCTTTGTGGGCCGCGGGACAATTACTCGCGTTCCGTTTCACGCGGTATCGCCCGCTTCATCGTGTGCTTCCCTTTTCCGCTTATTTCTATTTTTCTCTTATTCCTTCTTCCTTCTTGCAATTTTTCCATACATTGAATATTTGGGTTATATATATATTTGGATTTATTTTTAACTGAAGTATTTATTTGAATTTTGATTAATATTCCCGTGTACTAATTTACTAAGTAGAATTAGTTCACAGGCTGCAGCCTATTCTTCTGTCCGAGTCCTGATACATTCAAATGACTGTTTCATGGAAAGTTTTCCACTTATTTCGTCTTTTCCCTTATCTCTATCGTTTGCTTGGAATTTTTCGATACTTTGGTTATTTAGGTTTATAGTTCCAATTGCCGTTTTATCTTGAAATTGATCTTTGTTTTGTTCTGCTCCCCTTTCTTTTTATATATATAATTTTAGTGATCTACGTCAGATATTTCATTCTGATAAATAAATTTTGTAACATAGGAAATATCGATAATCCATATAACAGGAACCATGTTAATGCACTTTACAACAAAAATTAATGCAATCTAAATGATGCATGAATGTATAGCAAATAAATATTATCATCAAATATATTATCATCTTATTAAAAAAGCATAATACAGAAAACTTAAAAAGGCATGAAAATGAAATAGAACAAAATTTTGAAAAAATACTGACAAAAAAAGTAATTCTGTTTATTTATTCTTTGTATTGCTTTCGTCTGGCTATGATGATGGATCGAAAAAAAATGTTTATGAACACTCGGTAGAAACCAATTGGTCGCAACCAACGCGTAAATTTATCGATTCTCGGTTAAGGTATTTACCCAGCTTAATGCGATGTTTCTGATTGGTCAGAACATGTAAATACCAGATGTGCTCGTTTTAATTGGTTTCACCAACAAATACTATGGAAAGAGGTGGAAAAGTAAGAAAGATGACGCAAAAAGGAAAGAAACAAGAAACGAATCTTGATAACCCGCTTAATGAAACGACTGCTTAATGCTTCTTTCCTAATAGAAACGGCTATTAAGAACTTTAATTTTACGCCAATTAACCCATCGAGCATCAACTTGATTTTCCTCTAAATTTAATTCGATATTTATCCAAACCTTATACTCCACTAAAACTATGATAAATATTGAGTTAATTTATGTAATTTTGTTTCAATCATCATTTGATACTTTATTTTATTTGTTTATTCATGTTCAATATTTATTATTATTTAGTATTATTTATATTATTATTTATATTATTATTATTTAGTTAAATTTCTATATTTTTGGTAATCTTATATTTTATACATTTGAATAAAAATCCCATAGATAAAGTATAGATATAAGTAAGCAATTGTTTATCGATCGTTAATTAGCAGTATATTTTCCCTTATTATCTATACAATTGTTTCTCATTTCCCTACCAATCTTCCTATTCTTCTTTTATGAAATCTTTATCGTAACGAGTTCTATTGTTACAAACTCATATCTCAAAATAACTAATTATCTCTGTTAAATCTATTTTTATCTATTATCAGGTGATTAAAAAATATGCCCTATATATTCGATGAAATTTATAATTATAGAATATTTTAACGTTGCGAGTGGAAAAATTCGTTTGACGAGCTTAAAATAGAAATTCACTGGCAATATCAGCGCGTTTCAAAATTTCAGACAGTAAAAGCTTTCGAACGCATAAGCAATTAAGAAATGTTCGTAATTATGAAAATTTCTTCAAATTTTGAAGCGAAACCGCTTTTTTACTAGTTTCCGAGTGAAAAGCGCGTATTTCTTCTTTCATGAGAAAAAGGCCGCGATGTCAGCAGTTTAACGAATTCGCCGCGAAACCATCGTGAAACCGTGAAGATGCGTTCTGAACGCTCTTAAGTCTCTTATTACGATTTCCGCGAGGAAAGTCGCTGAAAAGCCTCGGATACATGTTTTTACCCTGGGAACGGACGATGGAAGACATGAAACGAGACTTTGAAGGCGGATTTTTGTAATCAAACGAGTTTCATGTATAATGAAGGTATTTAACATAAAAAGGATTGTCATACATTTTTTTTTATTGATTGTGTGAAGTTAAAGCAAAACATTTTCTTTAATTTTATTGCAATGATACGATAAAGAGAATAATATATGAAGATCTATTCTTATTACCATTTTATTAAGAAAATATGTATTAAAATACTTTAATTAATTCCATTTCGTTTCAGGACAAGAGTAAACGCTTGTCAGGACATTACATTTGAATAATATTGAATAAAAGAATCCAGATATTATCCTAATAGGGTTTTAATTTACCTACTATCATATTTAATCTTATAAAAGTAACACCCTCTCTTGCAATCTTTTCGTCGCTTTTTCCCCTCCTACCAAGCTGTTAACACGCACTTGACCTGTCAACATGGCAAATTCTCCACAAAATCAAACAGCAAAGTTAACGTAAAGAAAAGCACACGAAGCAAAATAACCAGTGGAAAATTCTGATAATTACAAACAGAAACAGGCTAATGAGTGATGTAATACGCATATCGGGAAATGACACAATCAAAGAATATTAGTTTTCAAAAAATACAAAGAACTGCCTCTTTGAACATAATAGCACATCATTCTGTTGAATAAACTTTACAACAAGAATCAAATGTCATGTCTTTTCAAGAATATAATATTATATTGTATGATAAAGCGAACATAGATAAGGATTTTTTTATCTAAATTGTTATCCCAAAATTTTCGCGTCCTTTATAATCACAATTACACAAAATACTGCTCGGTATAACGATACTAAACCTGCACCATTATTAAAATTTAAAATACGTGATATTAAAGCGTGAAACAATAAAATACGAGATTAAGGAATGAAAGCAAAGCCGAATTAAATATTTGACACGGCGAGTGCAAAGAATTCTCGAATGCACGATTGTACGATCGGAAATCGTTGAAAGAACGGTCCGGGAACGAGGGAACAAAAACTCGAATCGCGTGTCACCCCTTCCGAACGGCGCGCTTTGCTGTTCAATCGAGGCGTGCGATTCTTTTATTTTTTTTATTTTCACCTCTATTTTCAGGTGGTCCACGAGAGAAAAAAGGAATCCAAGGAAGGGACGAAAAAGCAAAAAAAAAAAATAGAGGGGGCGACTCGCGGACGAATTAATAATGCCGCGCGAGAGGAGCGCGGAGGATCGGCTGAACTTTACGTGAGTAAAGCGGCGAGCCGGGTCATGACCCGACGACCCATCCATGTCCGATATCTAGGCCACACTTGAATTTTAATCCACGCTGCAATTGCCGCCGCGGTCGATTAGCTCTTCCACCGTTTGCCCGACGAGTTTACCGAGCTTTAACTTTTGCTTCGGACCTGCCTGCCTGCATGCCTGTCTGTCTGCCTAGCTGGCTGCTTAACGCTGAAAACGATAGCTTGGTGTCCGAATTTTATTGGATAACTCGGCACGCGATCAATACGAGGAACGATGTTTGTTCAGGATGCCAAAGATTGGATGGAATGAAAATAGCAGAGGAATTTATAGTAGCTCATCAAAATAATTTTAAAACTTATGCTTTTCCTTGGAAGTTTTCCGGAATACACTACATTGACTCGACTTGCCATAGAAAATTTTGTCCATATATTGTGTGTGTTATATAAGAGATTTCGAAATTTCATTGGCACTGTAACGAGGCGATTATGCTGGTAAAATTTAAAACGAATCAAAAAATGTTTGTAGAAGATACAGAATACATATATGAATATATATTTAGTAAAAATGTACAGTACAAACAGCTATCTTACATATAATAAGTGTTAAAGTGAATTCTATTGGTTATTGAAATTTATGTATTCTATAATGGATAATTGACTGTTGAAATGTTTTGTGATCAGTGCTAAGAAGCATTTGGTACAAAGAAGATAATATTTACGATTAAAAAATTCGGACACCAAAAATGATATTAATTTATTATTATATTACGTTATTCGGAAAATTCGTAGCAAAGGTTTACAGAGATTTAAAGGCAATGTATTTTCATAGAATTAGACTTTGTAAATTTGATCGAATTTACCGAGATTTTATCGAGACAAGCATTGAGATTGGAATGAAGACAAATTTAATTGAGAATTATTCTATGCAATCCTCCTATCCCAGTGGGAATTGTTTCATCAATCTTCGCCAAGTTTCCCTGAAATAGATGTCAATGAGTATCTCGACAGCGTCGATTTGTTCATTTACAAATCACCAAGGGAGGTTGAGCCGTTTCTGTTCTACAAAGGATCGGGAATGGAAGAACAATTTAGAGTATTACGATTGTTCTGTCGATCGTCGATACTGATCACGAACACTAGAAAATTAGTGTCGAACAGATTCCAGTCTCGAATGCGTCTTTGTTGCGAACGGAAATAAACCCAACATTGCTTTGACTTGCAATTAGTATACCTACGTTCTCGCCGCTCCTTTAATTAATTACTATCCCAGGTCAAAGTATAGACCAAATGTAAACTCAGAATTGATAATTGCTTGTTGTTTAGAGTTTAGGAAATTCATTATCGAAAACTATAAACTTTATCTTTTTAAATATTAGATTATTACTTGCATTACGTAATTAAAATACGTAATTAAATGCCTAGAATTGCTATGCTCAATTATATACAACAGCATATTTCTCCTTTTTCTTTGATCCAGTTGGATGATTCAAAGCCACTTTCTCACTATACGACTTTTTTCGTTACATTTATTATATTCGGGAAATTAAGAGTGAAGATTAAGAAATATCTGGCTGTAATTCTTTAACTCCACGAACCTTCCCTTAAAATTTTTTTATTGTTTTCAACAATGAATTCCTTCAAATAGGAAACCTGTTTTTGAGTCTTTAGTATTTTATCTTAATGAACATTTCATTGTTTGATAATCATTCATAATAAAAACACTATGATCTTACCGAACAATCTGACGTAAAACTAAATAGTAGAAAAATAATATTTTCAATAAACAACAAATCTGATTAATATTATTCCTAGTAAAGAAATCGACCTTGAATATCCAAAATCGCTCACGTTACCAATAGTTTCTAATAAAACTTGAAAGAAAGTTAAGGAAAATATTTTAATTTCGAGATAATTCAGTCACAGGGGATCACGCAATAATCCCGGAAGAAGACAGAAGTGAAGCTACAACGATGGGGGTATACGTGATAGGCTTGATCGGCGTGATCGTATTTTATGTGTTGGTGTTGGGTGTTGGTATTTGGGCAGGCACTGTGAAGAAGAAAAAGTCACGCCATGGCCAAGACGCAATGATATTGGCGGATCGTGGTTTAGGCCCGATCCTCGGTATCTTCACTTTGATCGGTGAGTTTTAAGAACTGTTTAAACATTTTTTTAAATATAAATTCATGTTGAAATAGATTTTCATTAAATTAATTTGATAAGAATGTTTCTTTTTAAAAAAACTATTTCATATATATAGAAGCTATTACAAATGTTGTAAAGTAATTTATATAATTCAGCCATTTCCATCAAAAATTCAATTAAAATTTGGTTGGTTTACCTCCACAATTGGGATTATCTAAATCTATTATTATTAATTTGTTCCGCGGAATTCAATCCGACGTGAAAATTTCTAGTTGAGATCATTAAACTCTGCTTCCATACTCTACCTGCTCCCATTGAAACTTTAAGTATCTTAACCGTAGATCTATCTGATCAGGATTATATGGAATAGTATAATCTACCATTCAAAATCAGAAGTACAAAATCACTCCATTTCTCGCGTATCTCAAACAAAGTTTAGAAAACTCAAACGTTATTGAAACTCGCAATGAAACTCGCATTTATCCAACTTAATTTCCAAAATAATATAAGCAGAATGATATCAAACCATTCTATGTCTATATAACATACATTATGCATACAGTGGCTCACGAAAATATTTAAACAATTAATCATGAAAATAAATATATACAGGGTGGTTGGTAACTGGTGGTACAAGCGGAAAGGGGGTGATTCGGTACACGTGTGGTACGTTATAACAGATCTCACTGTAGATCGTTGTTTCGATGGAAAAATTAAAAAAAAAAAAATTTTTTTATTCTATATTTTCGACTTCTTTTTTCGCGTAGAATCACCCCCTTTCCGCCTGTACCACCAGTTACCAACCACCCTGTATAATAATATAATATATGATTATTATATTATATACATGTTATACTATATACATTGTATATGGCAATAACACGAATTTCTTTTGCGGACTGCGGGATGCAAAGATCATACAATTAATCGCGAAATATGAACAATCACAGCCTCAAGGATCGTTTTCACTTCCGGAAGAAATCGTCCATCCTTACCTTCTATCATTTGAACGCGTACACGCGATGTTTTATCGAGCAGTGTAGAACATCGGGAAATCCCGGCTTTTGTCATCGCGTCAATCGCATTTCTCGTTTATTCCTAGTTCCCTTTTTTGTTCCTCCAGTTTATTTTCTCTTGTTCACGCGTTTTTATTCCATTCTCTGTACATGTACTCCCCATCACCGTCTCTACAAGCGCCCCCCATTTCTCGTTAAGTTACCCCCACCTGTATTATCAGATTGCGTTGAATCCGTTCTAACGTTACGAGAACCCGCGTTTCATTTATACATACATATTCAACCATACTCTATATCCGCGGTAGAAATCATTTTTGCATCCCTCCATTAGCTTAATGAACGCTATGCGGGAAAATATGCCACGGAAAATGCTCCGCTCGGCTATAACTGTCCGTATTATGTTCTTTCTCTTCGTGCTGCCAACCCCCTCCCTCTCTTGACTCAACGAGAGAATGGTAAGAGCAACGATGGAGGGGATTTGCACGCATTTCTGCGGTCGGTCGTTCCGATTGTTCTAGCGACGTTCGGTCAGCTACACTAGGATTTGGGTCGGGTAAAATTCATTTTACACCGGGAACAGCTTTATGTATGCTTTATGGTTGAATTGATAAAGATTGAGTTGTTTGATACCCGATAGAATGGTTTCGATTTTATAGGAATTGAAATTTACACGTCGAAATTTCAAATTTAATTCAATTACTAAATTAAAGCAAATATCAAGTTCGTTGTCCTAGACGTTGTGAATTAGTGGATATATTTTTGTTCGCGCGTTATGAAATACCTTGTAGCTGTTCGAATGCAGTAAATAAAAAATTAACTACCTTTTGCTTATGGAAATTTTAAATGTACACATTGTGATTTAATTCAATCAACAAATTAAATTAAATATCCTGTTTATTGTACTATCTCTTGTGAACTAATAGATACATCTTAGTTTGCGAATTATGAAATAACCTACATTTCTTCACATGCAATAAATATTGATAAATGAGGGAGTCGACTACCTTTTCCCTTAATGTTATATTAAAACGATTCTTATATAATAATTACGTAACACAGAATAAGATTAGTTTGACCTGATTGAGAAAATAGCCGCAATATCGAGCTTTCGATCCCGACAAACAAATATTTACATAAATAACACAGATAATAATAAACACATACCATATACTTGCACAAATCCTTATACAGTATATAGGCATTTTCACTGAAAAAACAATGTTCAAACTGTATATGTACATATATTCCAACATCCACTCGTAACCTTCACTAATTTCATCAATAGCAAAAGAAATGTCACTTCCGCCTAGTATAATACAAGGAAGCCTCTAGTGATCTATTTGCCGAGCTTTCACAGATCACCGGACTCACCCCCTAACATTTTCCCTCGAAAGAGCGATTTCCCGCTTAATCGAAGCCAACTAATCGAGAGAAACCGCGTTCTTTGCTTTTTTTTCCACAGCCACGTGGGTTGGCGGCGCCTACGTGAACGGGACCGCTGAATTGATGTTTACCAGAGGATTGGCCTGGTGTCAAGTGCCCTTCGGTTACAGCCTCAGTCTACTGTTCGGTACGCCAATCTCCGGACATTTTCTGCCGGTGATACGCACGCATGTTGTACACTGACTAAGAGCTCTTTCACACAACGATACATGTATGATGGATACGGATAGTACATTATCGTCTACGGAAGTTCTCGTTAGATACGATATTGTGATACCGATCATCGGTATCTTTAGTCGATTAACCGCCTTTTTTTTTAGAACTTTCGAGCTATAGGTGAATCTTTTCGTATGGTGATAAATTTAGAAACTGCAGTATCGTTCAATTTGCTCCATTCTGTCTTGTGTCAATTTGCTAGATTCCTTCCTAACTAAGAAATAAACGATCGTCACTCAGATATCCTAATAGTATCTCATTCAGGATACATGCATCGCCAAGTGAAAGAGTTCTAACTAAATGTAACCAGTGATGAGACTGACACGGTACACGAGTCTTCCACAAGTCAAACTGATCAATTCTACTCTTTTTGTTTATTCCACAACTTTATTACCTAGATATATTATTATTAGATCCATGGTTATCTTTCTCACTTCTTTGAAAGTTCTTCTTAACTTTTTTGGAAGGAATTAATTGATAACATATTGGACTTCAGAATTTCTTTTTTATAAAAGACAGAAAATGTACACTTATTGCATTTTCCTTCTATAATCTTCATACGATGTCTATAGGATTGAAATTTATAAACTAGTATCGATAGGTACCGACGAAGTATCAGTTCCAACACTAGGTGTAACCTTAACCATTTAACTGCCACGCATCGAAGGGAGCATCATAATAAAGGGGGTGGAAGTAGATCGATGGGAAGGTGATGAAATTGTCAAGGTCGAGGCACTTGATATATTTATCGCCTCTTCTCTCCTCCAATTTACTCAAAGTTCTTCCTTTTATTTTATTTTTTATCTTTTATTTATTTTTATATCTTTTTTCGAACAATTTCGGCTGAGAATGACTACGATTCCATGAAGTTTATATTGTATTCAATGTGAGGGAGTCATCATTGTCGATTCGGTTGGACGTTTGAGGTGTGCTTTAAGAAGATAGTGTTGATAAGGAATATGGTAGAAGGGATGAATATAATTTCAATGAGTATAGTTTCATGATTTGAAGCAAGATCTTTTTAGTTTGAGGTAGATTGTATTTTAACGATTATTAAGTATTAGTAGAACTTTTTTGATATACAGTGGCTTACGAAAGTATTTGGACACTGACCATTAGAAAACTTTTATATCGACCTTTATAATCGAATCTCATTACGCTGTTGATGAAATTTCAAAATGTTTCGTACAATACACATAATATATTCAAGGACGGATTGATAATATTCCCTTAAAGCCATTACAGCAAACTTCGAATTAAAAATTCCTTATTTGCTAGGAAATATTTGAAATAATTTGTTGAACATAATTTGAACAAGTATGATCAAAAAATTTATCAAAGCGGAAAAATAATAGAAAGACCGTGAATAAGAATTATTAAAAATATTTTAATATCAGATATTAAAATATACGTGTAATTAGACAGAAATTTTTCATTCACAGAAAATGCGTACAGGAAATTCTCTAGCAAATATATTTTCGATGATCCTGACGAGCAATCGCAAGTCCAATCAGACCGGCTCACATAAGCCCAATTTATTTGCACGTCGACGGATGCGCTAGCCACTTTATCACCAATTTTTTGCTGGTACTCCAGAGTAATGGATATCCCTTTTTGCTAACGATGTTTTCCCACACCCTGCTACTCATCCCATGACCACAGATCCCGAATTTGATTGAACTTCAATTAATCGAAGCTATACATTCGCAACGAGGTTTGCGTTTCACTTAACCGATGCCTCTGCTACCTAATTAAAAGTGCGAATCCATTAAACCCATCTTTTAGCCATTCACTTCCATCTCTTTCACAAAAAACTAATTTTAATCAGTTCTATCAGTGTTCTGATTAAAATTTAATTTTAATCAGTTCTATATAAAAATGTTTGCGCACGATAGTATCTATTATAGTATTTATATACTAATTAATTAGGTTCAAGTGTATTAAATTTCGTATTATTTAGCATGCACTTTATATGATTACAAAGTTTTGATACCATGAAAATAAGAATATGTGTAAATACTTCTTGTAGCCACTGCTCTTTAATTTAATATCGTGCTACACTTCATCCGGAGTTTGCGATTTTTTAGACATCTTCAATCCTCGAACAACTGGCTCAATTTGATTTTGAAATTTTCAACGATTTGAGAGTTTTTTGATTAGCTATTTTGGTCCTGAATGTTTCAAAAATATGAGTGTTTTTTTTTTATTGGATGTCCGGATTTTGAAGTTTTCCACAATTTTAGAGCCTTTTGATTGAATATCTTGATTTTGGAATTTGAAAGTTTCTTGATTGGAGAGATTGCTTTTGCAGTTTCCAGCAATTTGAGGAAATTTTAATCGGACATTTCGATTTTGAAACCAAGGCAGTTAAAGGGTTAATCTCAGAATCGAGGATTATTAACATAACGAAGAAACGTGACAGGTGCGGTGTTATTTGTACGACCAATGAGGAAAGCGGAGCATGTGACCATGCTGGATCCTTTTCAAGAGAGATATGGCGCCGGGGTCGGAGGACTGTTGTTCCTTCCTGCTCTGTGTGGTGATTTGTTCTGGTGTGCTGCGGTGCTGAGAGCATTGGGAAGCTCGTTGGCTGTAGTGGCTGGCGTAGATCCGGAGATCAGCATTGTCGCCTCTGCGCTCTTGGCAGCCGTGTGAGTAAAAAAGAAGTAAATATAGTAAATTCCAAATATCTCACCCAGAAAAGAAATATTATGGGATGTCATTAAGCCACCACCTTTTGAATATAATATCGCCGTTGAAAGTCGTTTCATTTTTGGATATCACTTCTTGTAATCACGACTTGTTAATAGAATAATATAATTACATAAAATTCTTTACATGATTTATAGATTAACAAATATCCCCTTTTTTATTATTTTTATATTTTGCTTGAATAATTTATCACAGTTTTATATTTTAGTCTCTAGAATTCAGAACGTGATAAACAATCTAAGGAAATAATTTATCCGTAATTTTGTAATTGGAATACATCTTGACAAAAATAAATAAATATCCCGATACTTTTCAGCGATAATAAGCATTCGTTGCCCCGTTTGAAGTAGCATAGTCTGAGAAGTCGAGTTCGTTGAAATTCGAAGGTAAACATATCGATGTCATGCGAATTGCAGGTATACCGTATTCGGCGGACTGTATTCCGTCGCATGCACCGATGTATTGCAGTTAGCGTGCATTGTAATCGGCTTGGGAGTGTCTGCTCCATTTTCCGCTCTTCACCCTGCTGTTTCTTTCGAGAAGAACCTAGCACCGCACGAATGGCTGGGGGAAATTAAGAACGAGGACCTGGGCGAGTGGGTAGATTGTATGCTGTTGTTGGTATTTGGCGGTATACCTTGGCAGGTATTGAATATTCATCGATAATTCTAATATCGTATACCGTGGTACTCAATATGCAAAGCACTTCCGGCTTTAATGAAATCTTTTGAGAGAAAAGCTTCACGTATACCAAACATGTAAATTTAAAATTGTTTATGATCGGAAGAAAAGGAATCAATAGTAAAAATATGTTTAGAAATATCTGAAAAATTTTAATCATTGATCTAGTTATATTTATGAAAGTTTACGATGTTTAAAAGACATCCCTTACAACATTAGAGAAAGATTATTAGTACTATTATATTATTGTGCAAGTCGTATTTATTTATTTAATCGTTCTAAGTTCTGAATCGATCTAACGATTTAATGATCGTACCAACCAATTTTAATGAACATTTATTTAGGGCTATTTCCAAAGGATCCTAAGTATGCGAAGCACATCAATAGCAACGGCTCTATCGATAGCATCGATGTTTGGCTGCATGATCCTCGCGTTTCCATCAGCTTTAATTGGTGTGGTAGCACGAGCTACTGATTGGTCATCCGTAGAAGGATTTAACAAGAGTATAATAGCACATGATGGGAATGTGTTACCGATTGTTCTTCGATACCTAACGCCGCAGTGGGTCTCCTTTGTCGGTGAGTTGTATCACTGTAGCGACCTAATATCTCGTATAACTTCGCTTCAATAACGAGAATTAGAGACTGCTATCAAGTGTTATAACAGTTATAGGCATCGATATATGTTCGTGAGCTATTGTACGCTTTCTGTTCATTCCATTAAAAAGAAGTTGAAAGTATTAATTGTAAGAACAATAGTGAAGTAAGAAAAGAATAGCGATCTGATAAACAACAATCAAGTCTAAAGCTTTACTTGCTCATCGCGTTATTTCTTTGTTCTTGCCTACTTTCTGTCGAAAATAAAAAATGATCAATATTGTGAGCTACGCGTAAAATGGAAAGGTTCCTTTTCCTGAGTAATATAGTCATTTAATAACTAGCAAGCATTCTTTCATAATTTTTCTGTAGACCTCGTAAAGAAAGCGTTTCTGTGCCTACAACCATTTGACCCTCTTTTACCCTCAAGATAAGCACACTCCCCGTTCCAGGCACACCCTGTACATTAGTCGCTTAAGAAACCGCGAAACAGGTCGAGTGTCTGTAAAGAACAAAATTGAAGAACTGTATAGGAGCGCTCGAAGACTCTGCAAATTCTTATCATCTGACTACAACGTTAAATCTTATCTACCTCAGGCTAGAAAATTAAATTCTAGCAAAAAGAAAGAGAATGTTACTGCTTTAATTCTATTTTATGGTAGAAAAATTAGAAAATCTATCAAACTAAATCTTTTACAACGTATCAAATAACACATTGTTCGCGATTGATTTCCAGGTTTGGGCGCTATTTCTGCAGCAGTTATGTCGTCAGCAGATTCAAGTATATTAGCCAGCAGTTCCATGTTCTCCAGGAACGTCTACAGACTCACATTAAGGCCAAAGGTAGATATCAACAAATCTCTGTTGGCGAGTTTCATAATTCTACGATTTTTATGAATCTTTTTTTATTCAATCATTTTCATGATTCTTTAAAATATTTCTTTGTTTTGTAAAAAGCGAACATTTACCTGTTTTTTATATCTCTTTTACATTTGTAGCATTTTTTAGAGAAAGAATCAAAGAAGGAAAAATCTAACAGATTTCAACTTTTTAACTTTACAAAATGTGAAGATTTAAATGCTTCTTGTGTTTCTTTCAAAATGAAACTGTTTTCTACTGGAAGAATCGAAGAAGAAAAAGAAGAGATAGAAGAGGAAGAAAAGTTCTAATAATTTTTATTCCATTACAGGCAACCGAGAGGGAACTGAATTGGATACTCCGGATATCTGTTGTCATGATCACAGTACTGTCGACTTTAATAGCGCTCACGGTGGACAGCGTTTATTATCTATCGTGAGTAGTAACAGAAACGCTCGAATTAATTGCTTTGTTGACTCGCTCACCGTCGACAACTAAGCAGACCAACTAATTAATTCTGTTGCCTCCTCTGTTTTAAAGGTACTTGAGCTCTGATCTTGTTTATGTGGTGCTCTTCCCGCAATTATTAACCGTTATCCATTGGCCCTCTCTGGTCGACACTTATGGATGTCTCGCGGGTTACTTCGTGGCCGTTGTTTTACGTCTTTGTGGTAACAATCATAAAAATTTAATCATAAAGGATATTTATTATTTAAAAAAACACAAAACACAAGAAAAAAGACATGATAAATCTGGCATGTTAATTTGCCATTCCGTGACTAGACAGAAACATTTTAGTAGTATAAAATAAAAATGAAAAGAATCTATCGGGTTTAGTCAAAGGTTTAGGTTTAATTGCTAAGACAATAGATCATAGAATAATCATAAAACAATTCTTATGAACGTACATTACAAATGAATGAAGAATGTTTCTGTAAAGAAACAATCTTTGTAAATTATAAAGTAAAGTAAGGTATATTATTAGCCCATAAAGTATTTTTTTATTTTAATATTCATTTTGAAAAGATTTTATAATTATGTTTCAGGCGGAGAAAGAGGATTGGGCGTGCCAGCTCTCATCGAATACCCTTTCTACGACACGGAAACGCAATCACAAAAATTCCCATTTCGCACCGGTGCCATGATCGTGGCTCTATTTACCCAGCTCATCACCAGTTTCTTTACAAGAAATCTTCTTGGTAAAGGTTACTTTCCCCGATGTTGCGATGTTCTTAGTGTATATTCGCCTGGGAAATCGAAAGACCAATCTGGAGTTGTACAAAGCAGCTCTGGTGCCGCTCTAATGGATACTTCCTCTGTCAATGTGAGTCTTTCAAATCCTCAGTATCATTACAACGATATTTTACATATACATTTTAGACACGAAAATGCAACAGTTACTAAATGTCTAACAATTAACTTGCAAAATAAACCCCAAACGACATTTTTGTACATGTTTCTCATCGTTTTAATACCTAGAATTGACCCTATAAATATATCTCACGTATCTTGTGATATCCTATATGTCTTAAAAGAATACAAATTACCCTAAAACCTTCGTCTGACCAGAAATCCACCTCTGGAATGGACTCGTGCGATGGGATCGGACCCGGCAGCTACGACGACGACCGCACTACTTCCAATTCAGTGGAAGACATGACTGATCGGGGAGACAGCGGGACCATAGCAGCCGATTCTTACGATAAAGACACTACCAAGGTCAACAGCGTCGGATCAGCCGTTCAAAAAGCGAACCAAAGCCTGCAACATCTTCAAACCTTAAGAAACACCATCCATACGAGCTCGATCAGCGGTAGACATACTCCAACCCCCAATCAGTACGCCCCTATACAGAGCAACGAAGTGTCCAGAGGCCAAATATTAGGTGTACGAAACCTAAGGGGTTCCATGGGTCAAATGCTCTTACCAACTGATCGACCAACTATACCTCCAAATAACAATGCAAGCATAGTGAACGTGCCAACGAATCCCACTGTAGCTACCCCTATGACTCCGGGACCTCATTACACCAAACCTAACGATGGATCTTTGTTAAACGATAAAGCAAGAGAAAACGAGAGGATCAGTATCGTGGACAGAGGAAACACGGAATTCAATGTCCCAGATAATATGTTGACTACCATCAACGTTAAGAAAAACGTGAAGGGTGTGAAGCTGGTTGGTATGGAGGGTGGCACCCTGAGGAGACCATCGTTACAGGTGAGCGAGCTCGGCGTCACCTCCTTGTGAATTTAATCATTTCTCTTTTTTCATCATAGTAGAACCTCGTTTTATTCGCACTTTGTTTATACGAAAAGGTTAATGTTCAGTTTCAGGTATATGAACTTACACTTGAGTCGTCTTGCATAATGATGTACTAGATAATAATATTAGTGAATTGGTAAGTTTGACAAGTTTAAGGTCGTAAACTTCCTTTTTATAATTTTAGAGTTTTATAACAAATAGGATGATTAGTTGGCTTGTAATTTGTAAAATTTGTACACATATAAAGCTTCATTTGATTTGTTCCAAACTTGTCGTTATTATGCAAGGGAATCGGTGCTGACAATTTGTTGTTTGTAAAATATTAATAATAGTAGTCTAATTGAAGGATTTGCAGTAATATTGGTTGACTATGAATTCATAGCACGATTGAAAAAGTAATTTGGTTTTGATTAATTTTGAGTTAATTTTGTTAATTTGGAACATTAGCTCCTATTATCTAAACTAATAAGAAGAAATGAAGATAATAGCTAGCGAACTTCCACTCGAAACTTTTCAGTTACCTAAATTATCTTATTCCTCGACCTGTACGAATAGACGAGATTCTACTATATTTAAATCCTTGGTTTTGTGTCTATAACAGAGCTATATTGATTTTGTGTTGTTGTTTAATTAAACGTTTTATTAAAATGAAATTTATTTTAAGTAGTTTACCTGTAGCTGTTCCCGTCCCTATCCGCTGGATGCCAGAGAAGAACGATTTCTGAGTTTTGCGAAAACCTTCCTGATTTTACTTCGGTTTTTATTTGGTAGCGTTTGAATTTGGTAGATTACGCTAAATAATGGGAGGGTAAGGTTTGACGTGAGGTGTCTTTAGGGCACTTTTTCACCGACACCGTCGGTGGAGCTTGTCCACATCTTGGATAGGAGACAGAGCAGTAGTTCGTACGGACCTGGATCACTTTCTCCCGTTCCTATGGGAGTAGAGGCGTGCAAAACCCATGGGACAGCATTAGAGGGACAGGGTGGAAATGAACATTGCAGGATCAAAAGGGGCATCGTCAGGCATCATAGGTATCTATAATTGACAAATTATTATATTCATCGATATTTCATTAATGCTCATTAATAGCGAACAGCTTTGATTTATTTTATTTGTCAATATCCTATAATATCTTTAATATCTATAATATCATTTTCTAGTAGCGAATAGTTTATTGTTATATAGAGAATTGGTTGGTGCGCATTATTTGATGCTTATGTGAATAAGTTTTTACAGCTTTGGAAAGTTCGTTCATTTATTTGATCCAAATTCTTTTCTATATAAAATTTTAATTTCTATAAAAAATTTAATAAAAACGTGGTTTTGCAATGCTGGTATTAAATGATGCAATTATAAGCAATTTATATCTTATGTTCACTGCTGCTAACATTGGTATTTTTATATTTCTCAAAATATACAGTGACTGCAAAACGTATTTGCACATACTCTTATTTTTCAGTGAAGCAGTTTTTTATCAGGTTCTACATTTAATTTTTATAATAAATAATAACAAATTTAATATACTTAGACTAAGTTAGTTACTACCTAGGCACTACATTAAATACAATGATCTGCAAATACTTTCTGTAGCCAGTGTAATACAAAAAGGCACACAAATTTATTATATAATCTTACAGAAGATAAAAATTTATTTGCAATATCTATTACAAAACTATATGAAACTTCGCGTAGCATCTCATAAAAAACGAATGAAAATTTTCACATGATTCCTCGATCTTTGAACATCCTCTCCGATCGTACGTTCAAACGTTTGCGCAGCTTCAATGACACTGGAGACCGAGCATTAACGACGTTGGCCAGACAGCCAACGTATCCATCGATGCCATTGCGTCCTGAAGACTGTCGCATGACCCTGGCGAAGAAAGATAGAAGGACGTCGACAATCGCGCGACACGGTTCCGTGACGACTGAAAAGGAGCTGAGCGGTTGCACGACCGGACTCGTCGTTTGTAGTCCTACTTACAACATGTACAGCTCGGCTGTGAAGAATTCCAACTACTTCGTGACTGACGACGAAGCGGTCAGCAGGTTTTAAATTTGAAGGAAGACGTATATTCAAAGGAAGCGATATAACTAGCTTGTAAAGTAAAAACGTGAAATAGGATCACCACGCCCAGGCTGGCTAAGAATCATGATGGTATAACTTAGTCCACTGTTATTTTTCATAAGCTAGTGTTCTACGTTTATTATTGTAAGGAAATGATTATGTTTTTTCGAGTTATGAAAAAATACCATGTGACAAAGAGTAAAGTTAGGACCTGACTTAAAGGTATAATAAGAACTGGAATACGTAACTAAATTCAAATTCTCAAAACTTACACCGCTATGATTTTCACCTCGCTAATTGATCTAGCCGCAGCTAGGGTCATACACTAATTTTTATCATTGTTAGCAATTCAGTAATGAATCAAAAAATTTGTGCTTTTAAGATTTAATTAATTTTGAAATGATTTACCAACTTTGTCATATCGCTTCCTTTAGGTATACAATAAGAACCGCGAGCCAAAACGAGAGGACAATCGAATTTCGCCTGATCAAGTCACAAGGCCGATCGCGTCTTTTTACGATCCTATCTTTTTTTCTCTCGAACCATTGTACAACTACCACTGCCCGACTTTTATGACTTTTTTTAGGAAATACCCGTTTTTTATGGAAAGAGAAAAGGAGATGCTTTCCTTAGCACATAGATAGATCTCTGGTCCCATTCATTCGCTTCATCAAACAGATCGTCCAATTTTGATATAACGTCGTTTGTGGTAATAAAGAAATTAGTCGTGGTGAAAAATGCTGTTTGCGAAGAAAGAGTTGCAAGAAATATTTGAAACTTTAAACTATATATTTTTCGCTGACAGTATTTTTAACATATTAAAATTAAAATTATTTAACATATAAAAATCACATCGCTTCAATTGTTTGATGACGGACAAAACAAGATTGTAGTCGAGACCGCAGACGATTCGTCCACTAAAATTGACTAAAAACGTCAAGCTAGCGGTAAGATTTCAGCCAGCGATCGATCAGAAATTCGCAGACCTTAGATAAAAGCGAGAGGCGTTTCAAACGACGCTGCCCCTCTTGTAAAATAATTTAGTTAATTCACGTCGGCATTGCGCTTCACGAACTTCGTGAACGAACATTTCAATTCATCACAAACGCGTTTCAAAAGATGACTATGATCTTACCTTTCGTCATTGCTGTACTTAATCTATCACTCAGGAATATAGCTTACCTTTTATCGTTGATTTTATCAGATTTATCAGACGAACGTGAAAACAACCATACTTTTCGATTTTATATTTACACTATAGGGAACATCCCATAAAACTTGTAACCTTTATATCTCATCCTTACTCACCAGGGATCTCCTCTCACCTTTTCACGGATCTCTCTACGTACGACTGATAAATAAGAAAACACGAAAACCTCTAATCGCACAGTTTCGGAGCAACAAATCGTTCGATAGTTGCTATAATCCAAGAATTACTGTGCATTTCTGACGTGTATCATTTGTTTCTGTAATCCAATGAAAGACTAAAACTGTATCTTTCCGTCGAGCTATTTATATACCATTTTGAAATTCGAAAACGCCTTATGTGATTCACAACACTCTCCCTACTTGGAGTCAAAGTATCTAAACGAATTTGATCCGAAACGAATTTTCGACGGTTTCGAGTATTTTTGGTATACGAGCGATAATTTAAAATAATTACTGAATGTTGAAATACAACATGCATTCGTGTCAGATGGAGAAAAAGTTCAAAAAGATTATTCTCGAAAGAATACAGTTCTAGTCACCCAGGTGTTTACTAGTCGTTAAAAATCCCCTTTTCAGACTGATTCAACCAAAGGAACCAAGTAACCCGTTTATGAAGCGATTAATTTTTGTACAAAAGAACACCTGCGAACATCATCTTTTTTGCGTGACTTTGTATAGATAGAGCGATTGATACGTTGAGGACCTTTGGCCAGTTCGTGTATGAAGGGAAAGGAAAGAGGGGAACCTTCGAGAAACACGATTATGCATTTAGATAATTACAGTAAGAGGTAGATAATAGACGATTTAGCTGATAATACGGTGAGAATTGGGGCACGCAGCTCCATCACTTCTGATGTCCAGTTCGAAAAGGAGGAAAGAGGAGGAACGTGAGGAGCAGCATAACTGTGAGAAATAGAGGCAGCAGCATGAGCTTCGCTACTCGAAGCCATTTCGGTTTCGTTTCCAGCGTAAAGAAAAATTTCATGTTTCGATATACAAGGGCTACAACAAGTATACGTATACCATTGTACTTATAGCGTTTACGTACTAATTAATTAGATCCATGTATATTAAATTTCGTATCATTTAGTAGTACTTGCGTATGATTATAAAAATTTGATACTATGAAAATGAAATGTAGGACCTGATAAAAAAAAGCATTAGGAAATAAGAATGCGTGATAATACTTTCGGTAGCCACTGTATATACATCTCTTTCTGAACCGCTAAAAGTTATCATCGAAGGAAATCACTATCACAAATGAAATTTTATAGTAGAATATACCGTTATTTTAAAAATCGCTGAAGTCGGACAAATGCAATTAGATGTTTTATTCCTATTCGGTATTAAATGAAAGGTAGGAGAGTTATTATTTGCAGCGGTTGCAAATAATATTGCTATTGGATGGTATTATTGGAGGACGATAATATTTATTAAAACAAAATTCGCATGATGATTCGCGGAAATTCATGAACATCTAAATAGTTTAATTTGAAATTCCAACATTATATGTCAATCAAATTTCTACTTTAATGTCTAAATATACATATATATGTATATAGGTACACCCTTAAATTTTCTGTAATTCTACAGTTCTGCATCTGTATAAATCTGTCCTGAATTTTTACTAAATTTTAGAATTTTTTGCGATTTCTGTATATTTGTATCACTATATAGGCATGCGAATTCTTAAATTCCTTAATTTATCTTCACATTACTGAAAAGCTGTGTTTCGAATTAATCGTCTACTGAAAAAGAAAGAGAAAAGGAAACATTATTTTTCTCTTAGCCGGAAACGGGTCAGGGATTGGGTAGGGGGAGGGGAAAGGGGTATGTCAAGGGTTTCCGTTGCTCAACCTACTTTTTCGTACTCGTGAGGGAAGGTTAAGCTGCTGGATATAGAACGTCCAATGTATTACGTGCAAATTTATGATATTCCGACGACGAAGAATAACGATATTTTTCCACCGATTATACGTCTAGTCTTGTAGGATTAATAAACCGTAAACTGTAGTTGTACAATTATATATATATATATATAATATATATTATATATGTATATATATTATATATATATACATACACATGGAGGTTTCTCTCTATATTATAACCAATGTAACGATAGTGAGAATTACAATGATACAGAACCTCTGTTGGCTCAATACCATATGCGGCAAACAAACAATTTTTCGTAGAATAAACAATCACCCAACACGCTTCCAGTCCTTTGCACGGTACCGTGTAATATCATGCTATTTTTCTTAAGAAATTGTAAGGCGTAGAAACCTGTTTAATTATCGTATCGCTTGGGGAGCGAAGCGATAATTAAAGCGGTTCCATAACTAACTTCTATACAGATTCTGCTATTTTATATCAATTTAATAATTGATATAATTATTATTTACAGGAATGAAATACTTATTATGTGATTAATTTTATTCACTGATTTCATACAGATTGGTCTTAATTGAGGTTCTAATGCAGAGAAAAATGTAAGTGGAAGAAGTAGTTAAGTAGATTATTGGTCAGACCAAATAGTAGTACATACTTACATATTATAAGCAAGAAATGGATCAGACGATTGAAACTGAACTGTCGAAAACTATGAGAATTGAATATAATTTTTTCATATCTAAAATTTTAAAAAATTTCAAATTTCAAGTCCAAAATTAAACAGATATCGAACGATAATTTTCCTCTTCCTGATACTTATATACTAGTCTGCAACAGAATCTTAATTGAATTCTCCTAGTATGTAATTTATTTCTATAATATTTCATAATATACCTTTTTATTTCCTAATTTTTTTTTTTTTCAAAATCTTCATCCTTCTCATTGAAAATTTTAATATAATTCTTTAGTTTAACGTATTTTTTACCTATCCTTATTTATTTTTCCTCACGTCGATTATTTCTTTCTTCGCTTAGAACGTCAATTTCCGTACTTTTGTAAAATCGATGATTAGAAGCTTACAAGAGCGAGATAAACATCGAAGACCTATATCAGTATTATTAGTAAAGAGGATTCGAAAGTTAACGATCGATTCCTGGAGGATAGCCTCGTGAAAGGCCACTGCGGTCTTTCATAGTGAACTTAATCGTTAAGGCAGAATTATTTATAGTACACTATTCACGCTATGTATTTGTGATCTTCCAAGATACATAGGGTGTTATTACGATTTCGCTTTATTTTTTCAGTTTCATCGTTTAAATTTTAATCTCTTAAATTTAAGTTATTAATATCAAATTAGGTCAAATAATATTTAATAAATTTCAACGATCATTTTATCAATCTTAATATTATTAAAATTTTCTTTAGTTCTTATTATTAATTTATGCTCTTTAGTTATTTCTTATTATTAAAAATGTTCTATAATCAGTAACATTATTAAAATTTTTATAAAAAATTTTTCGTAGATGTAGTTCAATTGAAAATTAATAATCTGCAATTCAAATCTGCTACAATAAGTTCTTTTCTTTTATAAGATTTTCAAATACATAGTTAAGACATAGTGAGTAGCCTTCCTCCTTTCTTGTTTAAGGTTCAAGTACATTTTCCATTAACATTTAGCTTTATATCATATATCGTCACGTACTGAATTGTAAAACGAGTACGAGAAACATTTCTTTCGAGTTGAGGACACAACAGATGTTTGTGTTGAAACGTGAATCACGTGCCAAATTGTAGGATAAATGAAAGTGTATTACACACAACGCTCGTGATATCGATACACGAGCGATTATATAGACTTACCTTAATTTAAGGACCGTTTATTACGATACGATCATCCCGATTCCAAGCCTTATTGGGCATAATTAAACAGTTATTTAACTTAAACACTTAATTCCATCTCTATCGAAAAGAATAAATTTCTATACATCTTTATATGAGACAAAATTTCAACTTTTCTCCTTTCGAATATATTCATTTATTTTTGATATACAATCGATATATGTATAGAGGTTTTAACAGTCATTTGCGTGTTTTAAAACTAATTTTTTGTCATGTTTGTTCGCTCAGATAAAATTATAGAGTTCACACAAAGTTCACACTTCAAGTTTAATTGTTTAAATATCTGAAAATGGTATTTATCGCCATTAATATTTGTTATTACTAAACTAACGAATTTGTAATCATCGAATATCGTAATATGTCGTATATATTACTGGTGTATTTTCATTTTTGGATTTTGCACGCCATTCTTAACCCGCTATTAAATTAAAAAAAAAATGTTTCGGAATTATTTTATAGTATAATTTTTATTTTTCAATACCAATAATCAAAATTAACAAGGAACTTAAAACGTTAATGCATACCACGCGCAAAGTGGAGGATTCGAATACTTCTGCTTTTTAATACGCGAAAATGAGGACAATCACGCGATGAAAAGCTCTGCTTCTTTTTTCAATGCAACTTGAAATACGCGTGATTTTTGTCTGATTTTTTGTATTGTGAATTAATCTTTCGATTTATTGGTAGCAACTCATGAAAACACGTAATATGAGATTCTAATTAATCTTGGAAATAGTAATTCACGCCAGGGTCATTTCGTCCCCCCGTGCAATAGTTATAAGCAAGGATGGTGAAATTCAAAGTTCTAAGTTAACAAACATGATTTCTTTCTCGTTGCTCGTAACTATTGCTCTATTAAATGTATTTCTACCGATTACAGAGATTGACGTGATGATTATTGTAAAAAAATTAAAAGCTCAAAGTGCCGAATAAAGGAGACATGCATATATGTATATAATCGAAGATCATCATCCATTTAATTTCCTTTATCCATCATGTTTATCCGTTTAAATTGATTATTATTAATTAACATCGTTCATGTAACAATTATGATTGCAATGGAATATAAAAATATCTTGTACTTCGTACACGTCAAACGGCAATACTCGTCTAATTACAATAGAACTCTATTTATAACTGATTTAGAAACAATAATATAAATGAGAACGTTCGTTTCATTGAAGCAGATAATGTTCATCATTAAAGAAGTACATTAAATTGGCAAGAATGCTAGTTAATCAAACACTAACTAAAATTTCATTCCAATAAATAGAGTTCTATTGTATGTTCGCGTACATTGCACAATATGTACTCTTTTTGCTTACATTATATACTTTGAATATAAGATACAATTGAGATTAATATAATACTTAAGTATAATACGTGATAATAAAATATTAATATCAATGAATTCGATGAAAAAATATAACAATTATATGTTACTTAAAAAAAAAGTAATAATAAATAATTATAAAAATGAAAAAGACGTACATTTTTTAGCGTGAGTGACAATTAAGGTATATACGTATTTGCAGCTTGTGTTTATACAATTTTAAATCTTTATAAAATCAATCACAATTTAATTTGAAGAATGTATGAATTTTAAGATGAGTATGAAGTGTAAAACGCTACTCGAATTATTAACTAGGAAAACGCAGAACACCGACAAGATATATTTATCGTTCAATATTTATACATTCAGAACATTTTTCAGGCAATCAAGACATACATATTTAACTTCATAGGTTGTAATACTTGGTTCTTTATTTAATATGTCATATTGTTTGCCAGTTGATATATAGCATTTGATTCAACTTAATTCTGCAAATAAAGGATTAAATATATATTGTGTGGCATATTAACTCCTTCAATTTACAACAAATTATGCTGAATTTTATGAAGATTTAAATCGTTAAAATTGTATAAACGCAAATTACAAATATTACATATAAAATTGTGGTGCTTATTTATATGTATTTGCATATAGTCTTCAGAAACAAAATTTTTCGAACAATAAGGACATATATATCTAACTTGATAAGTTGTAACACTTGGTTGATTTGCCAGTTGGAAAACAGCGTTCGATTCAGAAAATTGAACTAAATCCTGTAAAAACAAAATTAGAAGATATATTGTGTGATGTATTAATGATTTAACTTGGATCTTTTCCTTAAGCAGGAAATATATCTACCACTTATAATAAGTCCAATAATATTGGGTTCACTGGGGTCTAGATTAAAGTTTTTTTTATAGGAGATAAAAATAATTGTACATTATATATATTTCTATGTTCTTATATATATTGTTGTGTCTACATAATATTGGTAAAATCATAAAATACTATCTCAAAGCGAGCGAAATCTATAAAAATTTCCTATTTAAAGAATTAATTGCAAATATTAACTATAATTATCAATATACTTGTGGTTGATACAAGTATGGTGTATTTATAATTGTCACTGATTCATTGTATACCTGTTGTTGATATATTTGTTGCTGCGCTGGTTGTTGCAGGATTCCTATTGTGGGTATATTTTGAACAGTAGGTGTAGTTTGATTGATCACTATTGACATTCTACCATTGCTAAGATTTGGTTTTGTATAATAAATAGGGGTGGTATTTCCTGTTATTGGATGATTAGCTATTATTGGTTGATTTTGTTTAAGCATTTGATTACTATTATTCGAAGTGCCTGCAGCAAGATAAGAATATTGATTACAGACAGATGAAGACGCATAGTTAATCCCTGGTTGCTTCATAGTAGTTTGTTGACATCGTTTGGGATTTGGATTGTTTTGAATAGTATTAATTGTGGGTATTGTTTGTGAATTATCAAATTTGTTAATTTTTTGCACCTGGGTACCATTTTGCGAATATTGCTTCTTACAAGTTGAATGATTTCCTGGTAAATTGTGCATTAAGAATTCTGCAGAATTATTTGAAACAAAATTGCAATGATTACACTTATGTATAGCACGATTTGAATTCTTTTTTGCAGAAGAAGACCTTTGTTTATTTTCATTGGTAGAACAGGATGCTACATGTGTTCTCTGTACATTCGGTATATTAGCAGTATGTGCTATTACTTTGGTAGGTTTCAAAATAGTAAAACGTGGCATAGCTGTGGTTGTTCGAACGAAATTACAAGCTGGTAAGTTTTTATGATATGCTGATGTTACATTCTCCAGAGAAGATGAGTGTTTGTTTTGATTTGTATTTATTTGGAATTGCTGTGGTTGTTGATTATTTATTACTGTAGTATTAGATTTCATAACTGGATTCTGAATCACTAATTTTATATTGCCTGAATTAGGTGAAGATAATAGTAATGTATTTGAATTTGTATTAGGAACAATTTTTAATTTTTTATTAGCAATAAATTTGTTTATTTCAGATTGTTTTGAAACTAATTCTTTTTCTGTAGTTTTATGTTCGTTATTATCTTTGTTCGAAGCATGATGACTTTTGAAGTGTTTGGCTAATTCATTAGTGTTTTCAACAGCACAATTGTTAAATTCACATAAATTTGCAGAACCTGTAAGCTCTGCAAGAGTTTTCACTCTTAAGAACCCTTGTTTTGGTCTTGGTGGACTTTGTTTCTCTGATGTTTCTTTTATTAAAATTGTTGATTCTTCTTGATTTATAATTGAAACTCTGTCATGAACTTCAACATTTTGTGTACTTTCTATATCTTTTGTGATTGATTGGTCACTTGTTTTTTTTTCTATATCTAGTAGATTATTATGATTACTAACATTATTTGAAACCAATATTGTTTGCAAAATATTTGTAGACTTAATGTTTGAATTAGATATTTGAGGATTTATGTTTTTAGCAGTAAAAAGAGAATCTGTAACATTTTGAGTTTCAGATTTTGCAACATTTTGTGAAGATACTTGGACATTTGCATTTGTTTCCAATGCATTAGCTTTATTATTCTCCGACATGACACAAGTTTGATTGATAGGAGATTTATCTAATGTAAGATTAGATGTAGTCTGTCTTTCCTTACTTCCTTCTTCTTTTAATCCTTCATTACATTCTTCTGATTGTTTTGTCAAGTCTATTATTAATTCATGTTCAGAATCATCTTCATTTCCTTCTAATATCTTGATTAATTCGTCCCTACTTTTGTCTATACTAGATTCTATTGGACAAATTTCGCTTGCCTTTTCCATTGTTTGAGTCTCCATTTGTAATGATCCATCCATCAGCTTTTCAATAGTCGATTCAACCAGCTTTGCAGAATTGGAAGCACGATCTGTCTCTGATACTGTTGCAGAGCTGTTTTGATTTGTAACTTGACTGATCTGAGGACCTATCTGTTGGCTGTTTGTGTTATGAATAATAGCATGCTCCTGCATACTTTGAGGAGAATCAAAACCAATATTACAAAATTTACAACTGAATTTTGTTTGTTCATAATTTACTACACAGGACATTACATCATTAGCATCAATACCATGTCTTTTAGCATGGTCTATGAAGGAATTTAAGCTGTTGTGATATATTTTACTACAATGCGAACAAGTAAAATATACATGAGTTGTATTATGTTTCAACCAATGATCCTCAAAGTCATCTAAACTTTTAGTCATTGCCGTGCAGATACTGCAAATAAATACCATATTTCCAGCCGTGAATGATGTACAAATAAATCGAGGTTCGATACTCAAATTATGTTTATCTTTTATATGTTTATAAAATTCTGCTTTTTTGTTAATAAAAGTATCATCACATAAACTACAAGTTATCCTTATTGCGAGATATGTATTACAGTTTTCTGCAATAGATGCATCTTGAACTGACTTAAATTTTCTACATTCTGAAATATGATTCTTTAAATCATCTTGAGTAATAAAAGGCAGTTTACAATTATAACAGACATGTTCTGCTACTTCAATGTATTTTTCTACACACGTACTCAAAGTCATTGCATTTTGTGTAGAAGAATTCTCTGCCTTTCTCAGCTTCGAGTTTATTATGGAATCTTTTGGAAATGATTTCTCACTAGCCATCCAAAAAGAATCTCTGGAATGCTTTGACCAATGGATATAAAAAAGACTTCCTATTCCTAGGAATATAACCTTGCAAATGTTGCATCGAAAATCCATTGTGCAGTCTTTTTTAAAACGAGCATGTATTTCTAAATGATGACGCACATCTTGAACTGAACTAAATATCATACCACAGGTAGCACAAAATAAATTTGGAGAACGACCACTAGTTAAGTGGTTTTGATTACATTTTACATATTCGGGAAGACGATAATGGGTTTCGAAACATTTCATACTTCTAAATAGCACCCTGCAAGTGTGACAAAGAAGAACTATTTCGATTTGCAAACAATTTTCATTAGTTCCTGGTTTATTATGACATTCGCATACTGTGAACGATTTTTTATTACCATCTTTTTTCGATTTTGCTGGCAGACATAATTCTATATCTTGCGAATAGTTTTCTTTCACAGTAATAGATTCTGTGTCTCTTATTTCTGAATCTTCTGTAATTAATGATTTATTTGGTTTCTGTATAAGCAACGTTTCTTCCTTATCATTAACTTTCTGAGTCCTTTCAATTATATTATCTGCAGTATTTACAGTGCTATTTACATTTTTAATACTGTTAGCTGTTTGTTGAATTCTAGTTTGTTTATATTTTTCTATTCCATTCAATTTTTGTTTTGCGAGTTTATATGCTTGTTGCAATTCTCTCTCTGTATGTAAGAAGATATGAGCTGCCAAATCAGCCATTGCTTCAAAAGGTTTTGAACAAACATTACACTTATTTGAATTACTAATATGCTTAATCCTCCTTTTCCTCTTTTCTTTACTCAGTGAGCTTTTTGTTATAGCATCTTTTTTCTTTTGTTGTCCATTATCTTTCTTGGTGACATATTGTGATGCTGTATGTTCTCCACTCCTGTGCTCACTTGACACTTGTGGTGGTTCTGATATCCTTGCTTTTGAGGATTGAGATATCATGTCCTGAGATTTTTCAGGTGACATATTGGAAGTTTTCAATGAATTTGCTAAACTATTATTTTGCTTTTGTGTATGTGTAATTAGGTGTTGTTGTAAATCAGAATAATCTTCAAAACAAAAATCACAAACAATACATTTATAACCAAGATTATCTCTAAGTCTCTTATGTCTTTTAGGAGATACTATGGAAGAATAAGAAGTTGAAGCACTTTTCTTTGTAGCTATTTTAGTAGTTGTAACATTCATAGTTTTTCCACATGTTTTAGGTGCAAATGTATGTTTCTCTGACTCATGTTTTTTATTTTTCTTTGAAAGATGCAATTTGAAATTAGTAACACCAGATGTATCAACTCCCACTTGTTCTTGAGATCTTGCATCAATAACCAATTTCATAGAATTCTCCTTACGTGGAGAAATCTTTGGTATCTTTTTCTTTAAGGAGATCGTTTTACCAGTAGATTTGTCTATATTATCAATGTTTTCTACCACATTTGATAATTCAGAAGTTTTATTGATAGATTCTTGTGAAGAATATAATAAAGTAGATTTGATAGTAGGGATTGGAACAATTAATTTCTGCTTTATATTACTAATAGTATTCTGTGCAAACCTTTTTTTAGAACTGTCTTCAAAAATTTTTGTTAAATTATGACAAACTTTTTGAATTTGTGAACTCCTCTCTTGTTGTATCTTTGCATTTCTGATTAAATTCGGAGATAATTTTTCTGAAGAATTTGATAATAATTTAATTGTGCTTTGTGTTCTTTTGGTAGTTGTATAAACATCTTTATTTGGAATGCTATCAATACTTGAGCTTGAAACATGTTTTGTAGCATCTGTAGATTTCTCAATGTTAACATTAGAATCTTTTGAAAAGATTGAAGTAAATGATGCATTATTTATAGATTTTTCATTACTATTTTGGAGTTTTGAAGAATTTAAATTCACGTAAGAATTCGTAAAACTTTCTGCCATTTTCTCAATTTCATTTGCTGAATATGTAGTATTGGAGTCTTTCAGAGCATCAAATTTTATTAAAAAAACTTTTAATTCTTTAAACAATTTATATCTTTGTGTAAAATTTCTATCGGAAGGAAATGATTCTTGTATTTGTTCTTCAATATTTTTGTTTTCTACAATTGGTTTCTCTATAGTCATAGCATCTTCATTCTTTCCTTTTACAGAAGTACCATTTTCTATAATACATTCAAGATTTAATTTTGAAGGCACACAACTGAGAGTATTACCTTCCATAGTACTTTCATTATCATCATCATCATCAGGATCACATAGCGCTGATATACGGTCTAATATACTTGGTTTTTGTGGTGCTTGAAGCAATGAATTTTTATCTGTACATCTTTTCTTAATAATATTGTATTTTTCGTTTACTAGGTTAATTTTGCTTGTATTTTTTGATGAATTTCTCCTTAACCTCTTTAATTTATTCAAAATTATTCTTGCATTATTTGCATTGCTCTTATTATAACGATTGTTATCATCTGTATGAGAATTATATATAATTCTATGTCTCCTTTCATTAGTATTTCTAGAATTTCCAGTATTAGAATCAAAATCTGAATCTGAATCTAAATCTGAATCTGAATCTAAATCTAAATCTGAATCTGCACATTTATTCAATTGTAGAGTCTCATTTGCATGAGACCTAATTGCTACTGTCTCAGTTTTAAGATTTCGTTGATATTTATCTGTATCGATATTTACAGATGATACTTTTAGTTGTTCTGGTGCAGATGTACTTAATTCAGTTTGAGTTTCTTCTGTTTGAATACTTGTCTCACATCTTGTTTGAACACTTGTTTCACATCTTGTTTGAATATTTGTTTCGCATTCAGATTGAATATTTGTTCCACATTCTGTTTGAATAATTGTTTCACATTCATTAATCGGAGTTACTCTTGCAAATGACTGTGCTATTTTATTGATTACTTCATCTATTCTTTGTAATTTTATATGTGGTTGTTTAACATCTTCTAATAAATTTTTTGTAAAATTCTTATTTCCAATCTCTGCTTTCTTGGAAAATGACATATTTTGAGGTTTAACTTCATTTTCATAGTTACATAAGCAAGATAACTGCTTCTGTTTGGACTTTTTCTTTCTTTTACTGAATCTTGTTCGTGGTATCTTTCGTTTAAATTTCTTTTTCTGTGTTAATATATTTTTTGCTTGAGATTGATGCAAGTCTTTTTTACACCATTGCTTTATCTCTGATACTGATAATTTTGTAACGTTCACAATAACTGGCTTACACAATAATTTACACAAATCCTCTAATGTATCTCCTCTTCTTAACAATTGTTTCAACCTATTACTTCTTAATCTTTTCCTGAATATATAACAACTAGTATCTTGGATTTTTTTGTATTTTGCATTAGAACCTTTAGGTTTTGGCTTTGGTAATGGTAATGACATGTTAATTACTTGCTCTGAGTAATTATCAACCGAATGAAGTGAAGAAAACAAATCTTCATCAGAAATTTCCATTGCTGTCAAACATAACCAATTTAATGTAAAACTTGAGTGCTTAAGAAATAAATTATAATATTACGCGAATTAAAAATTATTAACATACCTTTATACACTTAAGATAAAAATCTTGCTTTTAATATATTTTACTATATAATTTATAGATAAATTATTTTTGCTATAACAATAGGAAGTATCTTCTTTCGTACAAGGTTATAATAATAACCTTCTTAAAACGACTTGTTTTATACACGTTTTTATTTGTAAAAATGAAATTCTTGACCTTCGTCTATGAATCAGGCACACAGTAGACAAAATGCTGTGTATAAAAATCAGTTTATTTTAACCCTTCCGTTACGAAGCGTTCAGAAACGAATTGCCGTCTGAGCAGTTGGCGTGACAATGGGAGATCGGTCGCGCGAATACACGTACATAACTCCGCACTTGCATCCACAACGCATATAAAAATGCATAAAATTTGATACATGAATTTATATAATATAAATGTTTGCCCACAACAATTCAATCAGAAAATACAGAGAATTCAAACTGACTACAACGAAAAAATGCTTTTTAACATGATTGTAACTACTTATAAAACGTTAGTTATAAATGAATCTTACCTGATCCAAAATTGCCATTAATTTCATTTTCAACAACAGTTTTATATCCGTGCTTTGATTAGCCTCACATAGAGATATTCAAACACCTGAATTTGAAATTTTCCCACACTTTTAATTACGTAATGCAATTTTTTATTCCATATCAAGCGTTTTCATTTAATACATCGCTAATAACAAGGTGACCAATAATGTAAATAATGTGTCTTATTGTTGCTTATTAGATACTAGCCCCCTCGCGAAAGAAACATTCAATCCGAACAGACTTAAGCAATACATACATATATTCTATCTATTATACAAATGATGTATAAGTATTAAAAAAAAATGATATGTATAGTCTGTTCAATGGGACGAGGTAGTAAATGTAAATAAAACTTAATTACTGTAGCTGCAAGTTTGGTTGCTGACTAGTGTCACTCGTTTCATTGGACAAACTGTACCACGGTCATATACATATACAGGCCTAGAAACTTCTATGGTGAGGGATATCACGATTATGTAGCATGTAAATATTTGTATTTAATGAAAACAGTAGGTGCCACATGCTATAATTTTGTGTCCCCTAAAGTGATATTTAACCATAGATAGGATTGTTTATGCATAGATAAAGTATACCTACTTATAAAAATTATAAAAAATTTACTGGATTATTTCTATACTTTGTTGAAATTATTTCGACTATTCGACATCAACGCCCTCTGTGTGGTGGGTAATACAGGAAATTTCGAGTTTCGGGACCAAGTCAAGGAAAATTATGAAGTAAAAAGACCGTCCAAAAGTTGAGTCATAAAAATCAACATAGAAGATAAAAAGGTTCAAATTCTGCATGCATGACATACTATGAATGCTCAGACAGAGACATTCAACTCATATCTCACAGGAACTTTGTTATCTTCCATATTGATTTTTCATGACTCAATTTTCGAACGGTTTTCTCTAGCCAGTATCGAGATCGGCTTATATTAAATCTAGGAGATTCTGAGATACTACAAAGTAGAAAACTACTATTCCGAAAATTGAAAAATCTGAGATATACATGTTGCTAGATTGAACAAATATATTTGTTACCAATTAACACGGTTGTGTCAACACAGATGAAAAATTTAGCGTAAGTCACTGCTGAGAAGCTTTATTTAAATCGGAGAGGAAATTCCTCTTTGCTACGTATTTTCTACGAAGTCAACCTTGATAATCATAATTCACTAGCGATGCGACTACTAGCCAATGGTTGAAGTGTCACATGATTAGTTATATTTACCCCTCCACTTCTCTTGACTCGACTTGGACAGAATGTCTCATATCTTTTGTTACGTCACATGTTTACATGTTGTATATACATATATTCCCATGTGCACATGCACATAAGTAGATAGGTTACAGCCGTTACAGGCCTGCAGGTTTCAAGAGGAACACTTATACAGACCTTCTTTCTGAACACTGAACACGCAGCAGACCTACAGTTCTCTGCATTAAAAAAAACAATGTTGAGAATTCTGATGAATTTGTCGGTGATTGAACTAGAAATTTCTTTTGCTCATTGAAATACATAACGAAAAATGGGAAATTACATGAGAAAAATTGCATCGATGTCAAATAATGCAGTGCACTCCGTATACCGTGGTCGCAAACGAAAGTGCATCGAGGAAGATGATTTTGATTCTGAATCGGATTACATCGATCGGACGCTTCAAACACCGAAAAAGTACGTGAATCTTGTAGTAAATAATCTTAACTTTATATTGGTTAATTAACCATGGCTATTATAAGATTCGATTGTCAATGCTATTAAACAGTATTTGCATCATCGATAAAAAAAGCTTCTTAATATTGTATCTAACAATGTTATATTGTCAACTGATTACTAAACCGTCTTTCATTTAAATGGTTTGATACATGTATATTGTAATTAATGCAATATTTTTAATTCTTACAGAAGGAAATTGCTGACAACAGCACAATACATTTACAAAACCTTGTTCCAAGAAGAAAAAGGAAGTGATATAACTGTGCTCATGTTGGGCAAAGCATGGAGGTTGCATAAAGTCTATATTAGTCAGGTAATGTCATTATTTTAATGTATCATATAAGTACATATATTTAATTTTTATGTTAAAATTTTATATATTACTTGCTTTTACAGAGTCCGTATTTTGCAAGTATGTTTTCAGGATCTTGGAGAGAAGCAAATGAGACAGTTATAAGTGTAGAAATTGCTGATCCTAACATTACATTGGATTGTAAATAATTCTTTATTTTTTATTCAAATTTCTTTTATTCTAATAATTAAAAGTAAGATTTGTATTTCTTAATTTTATATATTTTCAGCTCTTTTGACAGTCTTTGGTTCTTTTTACCAAGATGAAGTCAGTTTAGAACCAAAAGAGGTCATACCAATTTTGGCTACCTCTACATTATTTCAATTACAAGGATTAATTGACCAATGTACAGATATTATGGTAGAGACAACGAATATAAAAACTGTCGTTCCTTATTATAATGCTGCTGTATCTTATGGTGTGCCAGTAGTAAAAACTGCAGCAAAACGGTGGTTAGAAGTAAATCTCTTAGGATATGGATGGTTACATCCTACCTTTTTAAAAGAAATTACACCTGATTTGATGGTTGAATTGATTGCTAGTCCTGATTTAATTGCTATGCAAACAGAATTTTGCATATACATGATGTTACGTGTATGGTGAGTAGTGAAACATTAAGATAAGAAATGCATTTAAACAGAACTATATAATTATAAACTGTATTTCAGGCTATTTGTTCATGTACATAATAAAGAGGAAACACTTCAAATTGATGAATATTTTAGAAATCATAAATGGACGAAACCATTCCTTACAACAGAAGAAGGCAAAGAATTTGCAGCACCTTTTAAAGCTCTGAGAATGAAATATCTTTTATTGCACGATCAAGATGTAAAGATTTTATATAGTGACAACTTAATACCACATGAGTGGTTACATAATGCATATAAAGAACAATGGTTACATTTACTAAGAATAGATGCGAATAAAGATCGAGGGTAAGTTACAAAAGTTTTACTTTTTCTAAATGTATCCTTGATCTATGCTTAGGAAGATGGACATAGTAAAGAGTCTCAAATATGTGCCTCCTTTTTCCTTCCTCCCTTTTTTACAACCAGCTTTGTGGGCAGAACTTTCACACTAAAAAACCTACTCCCATGTTTATTCTACTTTAGGTATCTGTGACAATTATTTAATTTGCATAGTATAATACTGAAATATTTAATGAGCAGAAACAGCTGTAAAAACTTTCTATTTAACTATTTTAGACCAAAACAAATGAGTGAAGAAGAGTTTGCTCGTGAATGTTTCCGTTGCGGAAGGTGCATTGAAAAAGCTGGCGAGCATATTTGGAGATGGACAGCGTTTCATTTTGGATTAGATTTGGTGGTGTGCTTGGATAGTACTACTTTGAGGATTAAGAGAAATCATAGATTAGATACAGATCATATAAAAGCTAACCATAGCAAGCACAAAATAATTTTAAAGTTAGTATTTCTTTAATTATAACTTTTCAAATTTAGATTAGAATTTTTTAAAAATATTTACTTTCCAGAGTAAGTCTAATTTCATTGGACGAACAACGTCAAGTAAAACACATTCAGAGTTCGGGTATGCTTAGGTTGTCACTCCATAAGAATGAAGAAGTAAGTAGCATTTATGAATCTTTTAATCTTAAGAAACTATTCAAGTTGCTAAAAAGTTTGAGCTTACGTTGAGTTTACATTTTAGAAACAAGTGATGTCTCTGGATAAACAACTTACTTATCCTTTATATATATCAGTCAACATGCAAGTAGTTACTCCATTTGTATCAACGGAAAAGGAAAAATCAGCTGATATAATTATCTTGTCGAATACATAGCATATTGAACATTCAACGTTTTCGAAACATTCGAACTGAATCCAACGTACGCTTACCTCAGATAACAAACCGGCTGTTCCAATTTATAATACTTGAGTATGATTAAATGCTATAAATTTTGTTACTCACCCACGTGACTTTTATATTGTGGATATGCTAATTTCTGATTAAAATTTTTATAAATTCAAGTGCTTCTAGTCGACTAAATGGAATTACGATGTTAGTATATGTATACGAAGAAAGTTTCATTCTTCTGTTTTGTACTTTCCAGATATATTATAATTCAGATACTTATCTTTTCTTATGTGAAATTGCACTTATTACTTATAAAAAAATATTAAGACTATTAAAAAATGTAGCTAATTTTCAGGTGATGTCAATCATAAGAATTTTATTTTTATTAATTTCAAGTAATTAAGTGTTAAATTTTCTGAAAAGAAAATTGTCATACGAAATACCACAGTATTAGATATTTGCTTTCACTGGCACTTATGCATTTATATATTTATATGCCATGATGACACTAGTAACAGAATAGGCTAATTTTCAATTGATAATTTTATACATTCATAGTAAAAATAAAGATGTAATTGTGTAAGTTAATTCATAAACACGCTGATAGAGTACCTCTGTGTCTTCCGGACAGTTATCGAAACATCGACCTTCGTGCCTTATGAATGCCAATTTAAAAGTAAAAGTGAATATTACTATAAACAAATGAAAAATATTGTTTCTATTGCTAACTAACAGAAGCTTTTATACAAAATTTATTACTATTTGAAAGCTATTACTGCAGTGTTAAGAACATTTCCGATCTAAACGATAGATGTTCCTTCAGTTTTGCAAATAATCTATATGTGTATGGTGCTATTATATTATCTAATATGCGCGAAATTTTACTTTTTACTTATTATTATTATCCCTTATAATATATTACAGAGATTATTACATAAGAACTACTTAGTTTAGCATTCAAGATTTTTCTACATTTAATATGCATTATTTGCTTTAGGTTAACTTCTCGATATGGGAAAATATGATGTGTTCTATATAGCATCATCAAATATTATAATTTATTACTTACCTTTTTTAGCGAATCACACATATAATTTTGTGACTGGTTAATTACTTTGTTATAGCAACGATAAATTTTGAAAGTATATGAATGTACAACAATTTATACAAAATCGTATTGCGCGATAAGGCAGTTTCTTTGTCTTATTAATTAATTATAAACGAAGGTCATATAAGTCAATGATACATCACGAAAGAAAATATCATTTATTTCTGTATATTAACATTGGAATCGTCAAATAATAAATTAATTAACTTGCAAGGTTTCCGATATATGAAGTATAATTTTGATTCCGTCTCTTTGGTTTTTTTTTTGTAACCATTCAACACTTTATTGGCAGAATATTCTCTGTACATAGTGATGGATGTGTATAATGCAACATTAATAGAATATGATTATGAATATTGCAATAAAACCGAAATAGTACAATTAACATTGTGTTGACCTAGTACGTTTTATTAATTAAATGTATTCATAATATTAACATAAAATATTCAAATCGGTGATACCATTTAAACGATGTATTTTTCTGTTCTTTTTTCGATATGCTTGTATAAGGGAGGCAGTGTCGCCAGTAGTTTTATTTCATTGTGAAGTATGATGAATGATTATCGGCGAATGATATGTATGAAAATTAATTAAAACGTATTATGCAAGTAGTTACTCGGAAAAACAGTTTCGTTACATTCCGCTCGATGTTAGATGAAATTTCTACGATGTACCACAGGCACAGTAGAAGGAAAAAGGACAATAAGAAAAAATATTATTAATGTTTATTTTTATTCATTGTAGAACGTGACAGTTTCCTATGGTCATCGTTGATCACGATACATTTAGAGAAGTATAGCGAGAAAAGATTTCATTCACGTTTTGCCTATAGACACATCACAAAATACATATACACTCGCGCATTTCTTTGTTTATTACGGGTACCGCTATTATTTTTTTTTTTTCTGTGATAGACTGTATCAATTTTACATGCACTAAGTTAGAGCAATTCGCGACAAACTTCTAATCTTTCGAATCAAACTCTGAAATTGTCTAAACAACTATGTGATTATATTATCTTTTGTATTACATCTACATTCGAATTTTAAGTAAAAATAAAAAAGCTTACAGTATCACTAGGCATTTTTAAGATATAATGTTCAACTTTTAATTTTCTAAAAGAACCAATCAATCGACTAGTGTATGTAATTGAGCGGAACATAACGAAATACATATGTATGTATTTCTAACTGTCCTTATCATTTATTCTGTCCTTTATCTGTGGCTGTCTGTCTTGTTCTTATCTATTGCTCCAGATCTGTCATTTGAAAAGACATGCATTCGTCGTGTATTATGTATATCGGATGTAAGAAAAAGAAATAGAATCGTCGTGGAGTACAGAATTAAATTTTCCAGTGGAAATTCTTCTGACAATTCTTTTGAGACAATTGCGATTTGTATGAAGATACTACAAAGTACATGTAAGTACTTTCAAGCAAATATATAGTAAAACAATGTTTTCGTGCTTTTTTATCTGTCGTCAACCGCAGTCCACAATGAAACGAAATCGAAACCATGATTATCAAGCCTATTTGTACCTGATGTCCATATTTGCTACTATTTTCGAATACTTTTCCGTCTCTTAAGGTGTCAAAACGTTCGCCATCGTTTCTTCATGTCCTTTCTACTGAGGTCATCCGTATTTTATTTTGACCAGTACTCAATAATAACAAGAAAAACATGAATTAATAATAGCAATAATACGATAATATTAATAACGATGGTGATGATATTGATTAGTTAGTAGTAGCAGTTAATAGCTGTAGTACTGATGGTGCTGGTAGTAATTAGCAACCGTACTAATAATGTGACGATAGTGATGATATGACACAGTGACAACAACGATAGCGGGGATTAATTACATACGTACTGCGGTGAGACATATGTGTGTTCGTTTTTATTATATTTTTATTATTTTTTTTCGTTTGTTTCTTTCAATAAGCGTTCTACTTTACCCTCTACTTTCTCCATAGATGATAGTTTCTACATCTTCATTACAGTTTTCGTTTACGACCTCTGTATTTTTCTTGTGTTATTTTTTGGTTTTCTGTCCATGCTCTTTTTTTGTTTTAATTTACTGATTTCTTATTAGTTGACTACGGTTGAAGAAGTAGCAATGTTTCACTTCTTAATCGAACTATAATATATCTTTTAATAATTTTTTAGCGTTTCTCTGACGCGAATTGTATACGTATACACGCACACATGCACGCAGTCGCGTGCACACACAACGAACGCGCACTTACCATACACGCACACATACGCACATCAATATATATCTCTTTTTCTTCGTTTCGCGAGCCTCCGCTACCGTCTATCGTTTTACACAGCATTTTATTGCAAAAATCAGCGGAATACGGGTCGCAATCATAATGCCGGATTCTATTTATTTATTTTATCTTCGTTTAAACGAAGTGTAAAATAAATTATTCGTCGAAGATATGTCTTTCTATTTTGTTTGTTTCTTATTTTTTAAATTATTCTCGCATACTCATGTCGTATCTTACAAATTTGCGTACGGTGCCAGGCATTCATGAAAGCAACCCGATGTTACTTCTCTAAAAATAAGCTGTAATATCCTTCTTGCGTGCAATTCCATTTCTGTTTCTCTTCCAATAAAATATAATACATATTTGTATATATATGTATATATATATTATATATATTCTTTGAGGAATCCTTTTCCAGGTATAGTAATAAGTTTTTTCCCATCTCTTATTTACTACGCTTACGCGAGATATCTTGGGTGGTTTCACGTGCGGAGGCCGTGTGTATATTTTTATTTTTTCCCATTGAAATCTTACTGAAGTGTACTACTGAAATACGCTCTCGCGTATCTGGCAGTTTGTATCACCGTTAGAACTACTCTCTTGTAATTTGTCTACTTTTGCGAAATTCGTTCGAATCCTGGGACAGTCCATATATAATATATATCTCTATATGTACCATGCTCTCGATTGAGCGAATCTTTTTAGAAATATTAACAACAGAGGAGCTGTAATTACATTTCATCTCGTTAATAACCTCCGGTTCCCATGCCCCATTAGGACTTGTTATAAACGTAAAAAAATTCAACTTTACAATTTTGACGAAACTAACGAAACATTTGGTTTCCGAAACTGAAACTTTTGTTTGAATTCCATCAATTATTCTCAATCCCTCTTTCCTTAATAAAATCTAAAATTGATCGCAATCTAACCTGTACGCGCTTCAATTATGAACGAGCAGGCAAAGAACGTGTTGTTCCGGATCCGAACGGTCTTTTCTATTGAATCGTTGATTCAGTTTTTAGGCGTTAAGTGTTATCCGCTGGTGGCTGAATAGTTTAGGCTATGGAGAAGTGCGGCGAGGTTAAGACAGGTATTGCAAACGGGTACGAAAGAAGGAAACTCGGCATCGCCAGAATAACCATCAACAAGGATGTCAACGGCAGTAAGAAGGACGGTGTGTGGCTTTCGGCCGAGTTACAGAGATCACCGGTGCAAGCGCAGTAGACTGCGTGAACGTCGTGAGTACCTGATCTTACTAAGCAATCGCCATTGTCTCTCGCATCCGTTATGTATCCACAATCTCTGACAACCCTGATCTTCCCGTACACTGGAAATTCATCAAAGTCAGAACATTACAATGAGCGTTCATAATTTTTCAATAGACAGATAAATGTCAAATGATTAACTCGCTAGGAAATTAAACAGCCACAAAGATAAATCATTTATTTAAGAGGCTAGCCACTGCAGATCCGTGAAGATCATAACTATATTTGGCAATCTTTAAAGGAAAAATCATAAAATAAATCGAAAAATTGTTGAAATTTTCATCCTTGAGGAATACAATCGTATTTTTGCAATAAAATAACTGCACTGCAACGATAAGAATTTTTGAGGTGATCATTTAACCGACGTGCATAATTACGAGCATATATGGTTAATTACGGTATATTCGGTACATTACGGTGCGCATAATTACGGTTCGACATCTATAAGCATTAAAGAAATACATCTGGATCTTTAGAAATATTTATTTTTTTAGAAATGGTGAATATTTAAAAAAACATCTGGTTTCTAATTACGAAAGTATTGTGTGATAATGTCGATAACAAAGCAAGTTTTTAATGTGTAGGAAAATCCTTCAAAAATTGCCAAAGATATCTATATTATTCATGCTTCCAAGTAAACTTTAACATGTAGCTACTGAAATTCTTTGGAAGCTTGATTTCTTTGGTAATTGTATGTATCTTTATTTATGTATATGATGATCAGATCTACATATTTCACAGAGAATGAGAACAACTTCAGCAAAGTTCTACATTGAGGATACAGGTGACATCTTTTAATATCATACACGTGCGCACATTCGCGAAAAATGTGGATCTTGTGAGAGGATTATGTAAGTGCTATTTGAAAAAATCACGGGCAGCCTCGTGAATATTCTGCTTAACTGGTATTGTGAATCTGAAGGGGATGCTACACGTGTATCTTTTCTACTTTGATGCTAGAGATCTAATAACTTTTGGGGTTCGGTTGCCGCAATGCAGTCAGCTATTTGCCCTTATCCGATAACAAATATCAATGCATAGTAATTTGAATTTTAATGGTCTGTCACGGAATGTATAAATATTTTGTTGTATTTTTAGGCACGAAAACTTATACAATAATTTTACCAAAGTAAACAGTATTATGCATGCAACAGGCAATTACTAATTCATTAATTACTATCACATGTACCTTTTTGACTGATCTTTCGACAAAGAGTCGGCGCCAGGCTGCTCAGATGGTTTAAGCGGGGTCGAAAGCTGCAGTTCACCGTTCCAAGACTGTACGGATTGAAAGGATCGCCGCACCTTGGATCGTATGCGCTGTTGCATTTGTAGCATATTATTGCTTCTCCTGAAAAATGAATTTTATATCAAACGCCAAGCAAAAATGGAGATATTCTATCTAATATTAATATTCAAATCCAACTTATACCATAAGAATTTTTTATGAACAATTATATAGATATTGATTGAATTTTAGAATAATTGAAAAAAATAATGGAAGAAAGAAATTAAGAGGAAAGAATTCTTTTATAAATCACAATAAACTGGATTTTTGTTTCGTAATTATATGCTAAAATACCAGGCTATTCTATTGATTATAATAGGATAGGTGAGGATTTAGAAGTGCTGAAATCATTTTATAGGTTGTGGCTCCTTTCGCACTGCTCTTATCACATTCTTCAACTTACTCAAAACTAGGCCACTAATGTGTAGGTGCTTGTTACGATACATGTATGCAATTAATCTGTTAGTGTCTATTAAAAGCTTTAGAATGTAGATAAACATGCGAAAGGACTGTCGATAATTGTTTTCAATTGAAATACATCATCGTAAAACAATGAACAGGTACAATAAACTGAAAAAAGTTATCTATTCTTTATTAAGAATTATTTTATTATGAATTATCCTGAAGATTAAGATTCAGGATAAACGTTGATGAGTATTTTTGATGGTATCTAATGTTTCATAACGATTCCACATTGTAAGGTAATTTCGTTGATCGGTTAATGGAAATTTAATTTCTTCTAGAAATGACCATTTTGCTTGGAATTCAAGACGCTTCGTTTACGAAGTTCTGGTGATTCGCTACGGCCCTGCCGCGTTGTGACGTCACCACGCAACCCCATTCACCCTCCCAACAAGTCTGGTTACAGCACCAGCTGATATCGAGCAGGAAGACCCCGACCAATGCGCGCGATGACCTACTGATACACACATAAGAAAATAGGTCTAACGATAGAAGAATAAATGTTGCAAATTTTAGCAATAGAAATTTATTTGGAAACGGTATATTTGACGGTTATAACTTTTTAAACTTTCACTTTTGCAAAATTGAAACGTTACATTTTAATGAATTGTTTAACAGAAAAATTAAAAAACACTCTTACTTTTATGCTTGTCTGAAAGGTTTTCTATACATATTTCTTACTTTGTTAACAGAATCTGTTAAAGAGAAGAGTATCGATTATGGTTTAATGGATCATGCGTAATTTGGTAAAAGAAAATGTTTCGTTATTAATTAAAAAATAAAATTGTGTAAACGAGATTTTACATTCCCTTTTGATTAGCCGAATTCACCCCGAGAGCGCAGGAAAATATAGATGAGGTAGCTCGGTACCCTGACCTTGAATAAGTTCTGCAGGGCGTTTTACTGACTCGCGCCGTTCTAGCTTTCAATGGCAAGTTCTGCACTGTTAAAATACCAAATCTTTTGCTATTTGATTCACTAATAATGGAGAACGCTCTATAAAAGACTCATTTAATTAATAACCATTAATATTGCCTGTGACTATCAAATAATTTTTAACATTATTTTAACAAAAAGACCCAATTTTTTTGTCAATTTTCATACAACTACTAAAAGTCATTCAAGCATAAAATAGGCATTAGAGGTACGGTAGGTTACACCATAGTCACAAGAAGACAAAATCCCTCGGCGGTTCGATTAAAGAGGACAAGCTGATGTATCATGTTATTGTCAAGCTAAAGAAGCCTCCGTATTAACAAAGTAATAATTTTGACTTGCAAGTACAAGGCGTGAAAACATTGATCAGAATTGTGTGTGCACAGAAGATTCTTCAATGACATTTGAAACCACACGAGACGTTCGATCAGCAGTAAATAGGACAGGACAGCTGGGGTAAACGGTAGGGGTAAGTCGCGTGAGGAACCAACAAGCGCTGCGTGACATTGCAGGTCCTTATGTAATCGACAGGAATTGAAACGAAGGGATCGGCCCAGATGCCTCTCTCTCTCGTTGACATAAAAACATGCATAATAAGAAGAAACAGGGAAGAACATTGACTGAGATGATGGTTCGCTTACAACTATAGGATTTACTGATTTAGCATTTGATACTTTAAATTAGAAAACTTAAAGCTATCTGTAAAGATTATTTTTAAGTCAGTAAAATCTGCTTTTTTTTGTATATTGTTTGAAGTAAATGTGTATTCATGTTTTTCAATAATTTTAGGCACCAAAATAACTGAATATTTAGTTAATCTACGTGAACATTTGGAAGATATGACGTTACTCTGCTGACCATTAGGATTTATTTAAGTAGGTCGTCAGATTCATTCGAAGATGCGAACAACACTCACTGATGTACAGTTTGTATAAGCATAACGAGACAATCCAAATTTTATAAAAAATTTATCAATAAGGCAAGGTTAACGCGAGGAACGTCCCCTTGGTCACGGCACCACGCGGTGCAGGGAGAATAGAATTCGAAGGAGAGTGTGAGAGAATGCAGCGGGAGGGAGGGGAGAAAGTGGGTCGCTCGATAACCCTCGCGGGGGCCAGGTTCTATGAACCAAAATTCTAAATTTCAACAAATTGCATCAGCTAACAGATGATAATCATTTTTCTTGGACAGAAAATGACAGAGTGAACAATCAAGAAATAACTTAGAGATAAGTGAAGTCTCGCCGGTACTTTCTCCAGTTTGGTTCTGTCCGCGATACAGAAACAACCCGATTCAATTAGTAACTTTAAGTTTGACCAGTTACGAAATTGTACCTTTAAGGTTAGTGTCTAACGATTGAAGCGAATTACACGCAACAACGCTTCGCTTACGTCACATCACAATTTTATATTCTCAACGTTGCATCCGATTCAGACTTTTACAAAGACGTATTATAATTTTGAAGAGTATTTTTACTTCATACAATTGATGTGATGCGAACGTTCTATCCATGTTAAGCTATTTGTATCGAAGAGTTTTTATTCTTAAAATTTCCTATTCTGTCACCGATTTTCTTCGTCGTTTCTATCAACACGAATGTATTGTAGTAATTATTCCACAAACGTTAATTATGCATTAAACATTATAGAAATAATCACTTATTCCGAAATGTCGATACATTTGTATCGCACTGCCGCAGTGCTTTAAACTTTTGCGAAAGTCGCTCTCTTTAATGGGCCGACCTCCAGACCAGTTATTTCTATTGTTCCGAGAAATACATCCAGTTTACTAAGTATGTAAATCGACTTCTTATTTTGTCTTTTTGCAGTTACCATAAAATTTATGTGAAAAGCGAAAAATTACACTTTTTCGAGAAAATGATTATTTTTAATCATTCAGTATACGTTCCCGAAGTTTCTGTCCGATTTTAATCATTTTTTCTATTAAAAATACATCGTCTTACAATCTTATCTTTTCTTCTTGCGTGCGTGATACAGAATTGTATCCTCGACTTCCGGTAAGTTGTTTCCTTACCGCGCGATTTACTTTTATAACGAGATTCAATTTAGAAATTGAGTACGATCGGTTCCAGACGAGCATCGGGGAAGTACCACAAGTGCTACCATTGTACGAGTTCTCTGACAAACATCTAGAACACCATAATCCTCTACAGAACAGGAATGTCCTCTACAAAGTTATCTTACTTCATACTAATTGCCCTCATTTGCGTTAGTTATGTGTATCCACAGCCTATGACATAATCCATCGAAGTATCCATCTATAATATGAAGGACAAAGTTTTTGAAAACTGCCGACAGTTTACATCGATACGATTGGAAAGAAGATAGCTATCGAGCTGATAAAAAAGACGTGACTGAAAAGTTGCAAGGACTGCGGCCGATAAAAGCTCGATCGTACCTTTTATGTAACATTGAAATCAATAGCTCGTTTGTTCCGGCGTCTTTCTTTTCATAGCTCAAACGACTTCTGCTACCAAGAAGAAACTTTAGCCGATTTGTAACGATTCTCCGCTTGGCAGGATTTGCCATCGTCACGTGAAACGCGTGCAAAACTAATGATGCACTGTGATATGTCCTCCTATTATGTATGTATCTGCTCTTTCCGTTGATCACTGCATTGCGCAGCAACGTACGTGACTCTTTTAAAAAATTCGATCTTGTTCAATCGCTCTACGAATTTATAAGGTAATGAGAAGTTTTCTTTTTAACTGACTTCCGTCTTTCCATATATGAGTTACGAAACATTACGTAAAAGAAGCTTGAATTTTCTGTTGAAAAACTTGCTTAACTTTGTTCCAACGAAATATTATGTTGCGTGAAAATAGACAAAAAATAATCGCCGATTGGGATTAATAAGAACATATATTTTTCAGGCATGCAGTTCGCGTGCGCCGATTCAGAAGGAGAATTTACGATAAGAAGTAAAGAATTTTCATAGATTGATCGTAAATCTACTGGTTCGATAAGAAACTAGGTCTTTAAAGTAGCATGTATTTTGTTATCTTATATATTACTATAATTTCTTAATAGTTGCACAAACGTAGCTTCGTATATACGAAATTCTATGCGTTCTATAGATTGATCATAGACAATCGTTTCAGGATAAACGAATATTGAGATGAGATCAATGGTGATTGAAAGGGGGCGCGAAAAATTGGACTCACCGTGATGAATAGTCGACAGCAGAACCACGAGGACGAGGGTGACGATCGGCGCGAGACGGTTTGCAATCATGATCACGATCACCGGACCATGTGTTTCAGGCTAATCACGTTGCAGTCAGTCACTTCGGACGTGTTGCCTCCACCCTCGCTGCATGGAAAGTTCGCACGCGGCAGGTCTGATTATAATTGTGTTAATATTTATATAAATTTTCTGTAACTTGTAGAGCCTTCTCGAAAAATGAACAATGTTTGAAAGATATCGAGAACGAGTGAGAAGAATTTATATGATGGCAGTGTTCGATAGACAGGTCCTGTCTGTGATGTCTCTTTCTCCGTTCTCACGTCCGAAATGACTGAACAAACGTGTACGAACCTTCTGATTTCTTGCGTGGTGCACCGTACGTGATCGCGGACGCGTCGCGTCTGATGAGGGTCAGACGAGTTTCCGTCGGCTATGCGGCAGATCTGCCCCCTCTGGTTTTTCCATGCGCTTTACGTCCACTCACCGTTCACCACCGTACCCCACCAGTACTGGAACCAATTTTTCTTATCAAGGTAATAATAACTTTCTCATTACTGTTTTTCTTAAAATACGCCTAAATATTTTTTTTTAGATATTTTTCAAAATATTACAAAATATTTTCTCTTTATATTTGAAATTTACATAGAATTCATATTAATTAAAAATGTAATATTTAATCGATTCTTAAAAAGAAAATTTCGAAGTATGTGAGATAGAGTAAAAGTATAGTAAAATTAATCATGATCTTTTAATCATTTTGAGAAGATAATAAGCGTATCTGGGTTAAGATTGTATGTTTAAGGGTGAAATTTATCGTTCATTTTTCAAGAGGAAAAAATTTTACTTTGTTGAAAATTTTGAATTGAGAAAAGGTTGTATCGCATTTTGAATCATCCATTTTTTACAATATGAATAATTAATATTATAGTATTCTAGTTATTTTTATTAAACTCTAAAATTATGTAACAACGAATTCCAGTACTAGCGAATGTAGTTTTTTCTATGCAGATCATGTAAAACTATTCATGAAGTTGTGTTCGCATGTCAAATACTAACCTGGTAAACTCGATCTATGTACAGACTACAAATTGTAGTTCAGCAAGTAGTGAAGACCACTTATAATACACAGCCTGCAGTAGTATATGGACAATATAATCAGACATTGAAGACGCTTAAGAAATGAAGATTTTAGCTTCTATTCTTTAACAAAAAGCACATATGTACATATTTCTAATAGAAATTTTTTTATTAATCTTTCATAAACTTATGAATGATTCATTAAAAATCTCAATTATTCATTTCAGATATTATATGTATGGTAATTGCAAAGCACTAACTTCACCATTTATCGACAATATTGCGTATTTACTTACCTTCTTTAGATATACATGTAAAGCTATGTTTATGGACAGTAAATAATATGTATTAAAAACCAACTAATATTTAGTGTAATTTTAATAGCGTTATTTATTCAAATTGAATGATTCTATTTTATATACCGAAAAGACTTTACACATTAACTTTACACAGAGAATTGTTTTCTGTAATAAAAGTTTATTTAATAAGCGTACAAAGCTTTCTCTTGGTAGTGACCTTTTATTGTAAATATTCTATATATAAAATAAAACAATAATAATAATTTACAGTAACGATAAGTTTACCTATCTGCTTTTATTTACTAGGTTTATTTTTATTATCTAGTTTTCCTAGAATTAATTCAAAATTAATTATAAGGAAAGAAGGAAAAAATAAAAACAGCTTTTTAGGATTTCCAAAATTTCCTTATGAAAAAAGAGGAATGTCTGTCAATGCTAATGGATGATATAAATGAATGTATATATATATATATATATGTATATATATATATATAACACTTTTATCAACTCTGTAAAACTATCGCTAATGAACGACATATATGTATTAGGTTGACCTAAAGTTTTTTTCCTTTTATAAAGAAATAATACACAATACTACAGCATGAATGACATTTTTTGTTTTATATTATTTTATTGAGAACAAAATGCTATTCTATTCATAGAACAAAATTCTATTGGAACAAAATGAATCATACATAATTCAAAAAAATAATATAAAACAAAAAATGTTGTGGATCTATTATTTCCTTATAAAACGAAAAAAACTTTTGGATAAACCTAATATAATATCTAATACGATAATACGTCTCTTCGGCATTTATAAATCAACTTGACTAAAAACTCGTATAGCACTATGATACAGTACTTAAATAGGCACGTTCAGTATAAGTACTAGTTCTATTCCAGTCTCCTATTAATAAATGATACTTATTCATTATTAAAAACTATATTTCGTTCAACACAATCTATATTTATTTATGAATATATATAATATATATTTTTTTTCATTTTTTACCAAAGAAAACTACAAAATTTTTATTTAAGGCCAATTATTTTGTTCAGGAACTAGAGTGCCAGATTATTAAATAAAACAGCTTCAGCATAAAACCGATCACTGTTAATACATATATAGTGCGCTGTTGGAAAGAAGTCCTGCGGCACGGCACAGAGTCAAGAGAGGGTACATACTGTTCTCTATCGCTCACTGTCATGCGTTGCTATATTGTTTTATTTATTCATGTGACACTTTCCACCAATATGCATTCTTTATGATTGTGTTGAATCTATCCTTCAGCGGGACTTCTTTCTAACAGTGCACAGTATGTAAGTATATATGTAATTATATAAATCTCTCATACACAGGGTGTTTTGTCTAACGCGACATCAACAACTCTTTGGCCACTTGCTGTCACGTAACAAAAGAAATTATGAACCAAAATTTATCAGTATCCAGTATACTACAAATAACCATAATCAATTTTAAAAATAGTTTGTTTTCATAGTGAAATTAAGATCATTACATTATAGGGGACCTTAGAATGAATTAAAAAAACATATTATATTATGTTTTATTAAGAAATTTTGTAACAAATTGAAAAGAATTAATTTCAATTTCAATTTTAATTTTACGAAAACAAATTTTGGTTCAAAATTTTCCTCTTTTACATAGCTGCAAATAGTTTAAGACTTGAGCATCGTATTAGTTGTTATCACTCTGTATAAACAAAAGTTACCCTATTCTCAAAGGCATTATTTTATGGTATAATAATCGTTTGGCATGTTGACTTATACAATTCAATTCTCGTGCTCATCAGGATGGTCTGTCTTAATATGATGCGTGAATGTATATTGCGTGGTGAATCGTTTCTTACAATAAGGGCACTGATATGGCATCAGAGGATGTGCAGATCTTAAATGTGCAACAGCTAGTTCCCGTAAAACAAATGGAGACTGACATACTCCGCACCGATACCTAGTATTATAAATATTACAGATATTAATACTTTATAAATCTTTCTAAGTTTTAATATAAATTTAAATCTTACCCGCCAGTTGTCCTGATTAGAGTTCGTTTAACAGGAGGTGGTGTACTTTCCTCGTTTATTTCTACTTTTGGTTCAATAGGAGGAACTGAATATTCCAATGATGTTTCAGGTGTTAATTTTGGCATAGTTTTTTCTTCTTCTGATTCCTCCTTTAAATCTTGTTTTCGCACCTATATGAATAATAGAAAGATGAATTTTCAAATATGGTGAAAGCCTAAAAATTAGTAAAAAGAATTTTGTATGAGTTACTTACTGTTGTATGTGAACTTTCCATATGTACTCTCATATGAGAGTTTTTCGATTGGAAACTACTAAAAGACGCATTGCATTTGGAACATTTATATCTTTTACTGTTACTCAATGATGCAGACTTTTGCGAAGACTTTGAGGATACTCCTTTTTTACCGAGCACAATTTCTGCCGTGCATTGATGAGTTAGCAGAGATACTTCTTTAAAAAATATTTTATTACACTTAGGACAGTGATATGTTTTGTCAACAATGTGCGTTTTTTGATGTACTTTATATGCATTTTTATCTACGAATGATTTGTTACATACTGTGCATATATATACTGATGCAGATTCATTTCGTTTATGAGATACCTATTATTAAAATTAAGAAAAACACATTAAAAGATGCACAAAACAGAGAAAAATATATTTCAAGAATAATAATTACATACCTCGTGTCTAAATAATTGCCACTTTTCCTTGAAAGATTTTTTACATATATGACACATGAAATTTTTACAAGTGAAATTATCCGAATGTGTCTGTAAATGCGTTAACATTGTAGTGTGATCGCTGAACCACTGTAAACAGATACCACATCTTGCCACATTTTTAAATGCATTGGTATTTAATGGAACGTTTCTTTTTAAAGGTGGTTCTTCATGATTAGGAATATCTTCTCTTTCTATCATCTGCAGTTTATAATATTGTAATTTTATTTTTATGTTTTCACAATGACCTTTTCGAATAATATATATATATAAATATATGTAATAAAACCTCTGAATATGTCCTAGTTCTTGATGCACGAGTTCTAGCTTCTCTTGCCTCCTTAGCTTCCCTTTCGGCATTTAATGCTTCTTCTTGTTCAACGCTAGCCATTACAGGCGACATTGTAGGTTGCTGACTATGTTCACTCATTCTATGTGCTGCTAGACGTATGAAAAGTCCAAATGATCGTCCGCATATATCACATTTATGTCTTTTTGGTTCATGAGTACGCATGTGATTTGATAACGCACTTTGTTGAGTACAAACCTGTAAAAAGAATGAGGATTTAAAAAATGTAATTGTTAATGTATAATTAATATTTTGTACAAAGCATACATAAGACTATTTACTTTTCCGCAAGTAGGACACGTAAGTGACTTAGTAGCGTCTGTAAAATGTTCCCTCTTCACTTCTTTTGAAGGTTCTTCACTTTTAAGAACCTTCGCCGATTGTTGATTCGTTAGGTGTAATATTTTTGTTGGTGTGTAATTACTGACCTCATGTAATTGAATATGACTTTGATAAGTTTCCACACTTGGGAAAAATCTATGAAATGAAGAAGTTAGATATAACGAAAGTCAGAGGAATTAAAAAAATCAGAATTGCGATGAATGGAAAATGTACACAACCTATTACATAAAGAGCACCATGTATTAGACCCAATTTCATTTATTTGAGTTAAGTGATCACGTAATCTATGTTTCTTCAGCATCTCCCAACTAACAAATTGTCTATCACATTGGTCGCAATCTAGAACACTTCTATCAAAGTCTAATGTTACTTTTAAATGATTAGTAGCTTCATGTTTAGCCAAATCTTCTACCAACTCAAAACAAGCAGAACATTTCCTGCAATTATACTTTCTTGGACAATGTAACTGCATATGTTTCATTAAACTTTCCTTTGTTCTGCAATGAATAATTACTAATTACAAAACTATGCACAAAATACATTGTAATTAGTAAAAACTTACTTATAATAACTATTGCAAGGAGTACACCACCACTTAGAGGATAGCTTTGTTTCTGAATTTAAGTCCTTCCTATCATTCATTGTTAAACTACCCATTAGTACTTGTTCTAAAATACTCGTCCTCTTTTCTTCTTCTTTTACCTGTATTCCTTGTTTTGAGTCATTGCTTTCTTCTTTTAATAAGCTTGTATTTTGTTCCACTATTATATCTAACTTATCATATGATTCATTTTCTATGTTGTTTTTATGTGATGGTTCATATACATTAACACCTATTCCCAATATTGGTTCTGTAGTCATTTCTTTGATCTCTACTTCACATGGCAATTCAGGTAATGATTCAATGCAACTATTTTGATGGTCTTGACTAATATCTATTGGCATTGATGGACTTTCAACTGGCAGTGAAACTGGCAAAGGTACTAATGGTGGTGGTGCTCTAGCCTTTTCTCTCCATAGTTGGGCCTAAGAATCACGATGTTGTTTATTCAAAAAAATATACAAACAATTACACAATATGAATTAATCTGAAAAGAAAATGAAATATACCTGACAGGGATCAGGAGAATTTCTCATTGCTTCTAAATAAATCTGAACAGATTCAATGTTCTTATAAGCTAACAGCTTCAAGTGCATGCTTTTGTAAACGCTCAGACAGTATTCTCTAAACTCATAAACGTCGTCCAACCTGGCGGCACAGAACTGACATATTTGCTTTGGCAGTGGATCGGTTTTGTACACTAGAACTGGCAGGCAAGCACGTAACTTTTGTGCCACTTTACGCTGTACACCTTCGTTACCAAAAATCGACAGCATTTCGTTTTTCTCCTCTGAGCATAATCTACAAGCATTCTCCCACTTGTTAGGCACAGCCATTGTAAACAATTTGGTAGTGAACCGTTGCACTCTACGACGATCTCTTAATCTTAATCTCCACGATGATATGATTAACGTTAACGTGACGATAATCACACCACGATACGTATGTGTTTATTTTCCGTAGTTATATTCACGTTGGTATATGCGATCGCAAAATACGATCAGCTTCACAATTTAGGTTAGCCAACAGCCCATACCGAACGCAGGAGTCCAGCCACGAAATTGTGATCAAACAATGCATTCATCTTTTTCTCAGTCACGTTGTACATGCCACCCAGATGCTTCAACGGGTGATACTCGTTCTGGGAACTTGAAATTTTTCTTTTATCATTCTACTTTCACCTTGTGCCGTTTTGACCGTTCGGAAACTTAGCCTTTCAAGTGTAAAGATTCAAGAGAACCGGTTCTCGTGCGTAACCGCTTATGTGCATGGATATTGCTTAATACCGTCGTCTATCATATGCACCTTCCAACTAAGTATCTCCGGTTCTCTGGCATTTTTCTTACCCCCGTACGACAACACCTTATGTAGTTTTATGTAGTCACTAGTCACTATGTTTTGATAACTGCTGCTCTAAAAGCCATCTCTCAGAACTTTAGGCATTATCGCTTCATGATATGATTCGGTGTTGCATTGGTAATTATTTTTATTTTATTTATATTCATCGTGATCGATCCCAGAAAACAGTATCGTTGGAACCTAAACGATTGTGATAGAATTGTAAATAAAAATAGTAAATCGTAGATTTGATGAATATATTCGATTTTAATGGCGTGGCGAAGATCATTGATCGTCGAGTAAGAATCATAGACAGTTAACAAAAAACGCGGTCAATTTAAATTTACGGTTGTTCATTCCTTTTCTGGAAACCTATTTTTAATTCTACAATGGCACATTTAGAATTTTTCATGACCACGAAATGATTTTTATATGAATAAATAAATAAATAAATAATCGTTTATTTTATATGGTCGTCTCTACGTTCTAAAGTATCTTTAAGTTTAGTGTTAATAATATAACTTATTGTTAGATAAATATGGTAAAAGAATATGGGTTGAATTCTGAATATTTCGATGGGAAGAATGTTGGCTTTGTATTTAGTAATATTTATATATGAATAATCGATTATTCTCAACAATTATTCGAGAATCAAAGAAAAACATAGCATAAATTTTAAATATTTAAAAATCTGAAAAATAACATGCAACTAAATTAGATAAAATCATACATAAAATTCGTTTATAAATTTTTCTTGCAGGCTACTTACTTTCATTACTATATCGTAAAATAATTGCAATTCTATATTTGACTAAGATAACAGTATTTCCTGAGAATTTGGGGTGGGAAATTGTAGTTAAATGAGTAGGTGAATTATGCAATATTTTGTTGAACATTAATTTATTTTATAAATTTACATATTTCAACATAAATATATATGAATATCACTCATATCTGGCTTTGCCAATATGTTTTACAATATAACAGATTTTATAATTGAATTTCTTGAATTTTTTTGATCTGTTTACAAAAATATGAAACAAAAAGAAGGTGGAGAGCAAGGAACATAATAAGTATGGACTTTCTTATGAAAGTATTGCACGATTTAAAAAATTGTGTAACTAAAATTATATCTTAAAATATTTACAAAATGTAATAATGCTTAATAAGTTGTTCCATTGAACAATTGAAAATATTTTTGTAGAAGATAATGTACACGCTATCAAATATTAATTTGATTGTACAATTGCTTAAATAAAAAATTCTGTTCAAAGAAATGCATTACATCTCTATAAAATATACAATCTTTTAATATACTATTCTAAAACATTTATATTAATAATAGTATGTGAATATTACGAAAATTAAAGTATGAACATTTCTCCTTATATAATTAGAATGAAATGTTTTCAATTGAAAAATTATTTTTTCATTCTTACATTATATAAATAACAAATGCATGTCATTTAAATTATGGAATATTCACATTATGTATGCATATTAAATAATTAAATAATACATAGATACCTTTTAAAAGGGAATAACAAATGTCATTTCATCACACAACAAGCATTGATTATAAAATTCTTGTTTGTATCGATATACTTGGTTTCTTGTTGCTTATTTCTTTAATCAGTAGATCAATAATAGTGTACAATATTTCGTATATGTTTATTTAGTTAATTTGTTTCGCATCTAAATAGAAGTAAAATAGCATAAGGAGACGGTGACAATGCGGTAGCAATTACATAGCAAATATATATATATATCTCTATATATGTATAGAAATACATTATAAAATAAAAATGGCAACTCTAATAAATGTCTCATAAATGAATTGTGTGTTTCACAAACTGTTTAAAGACTTACATCTTGAAATTTTTATGTGTTTACATATAGAAAAATAATTTTACAGGAAGTTTTCTTGTCGGTTTAATTACATATGAATCAATGAGTCACATGCGTGAAAATTATAACTCCATTAGTAAAATAAAATTTAAGAGATAGTGAAGTTCAAGTTTTATTACAAACCTAAATAGTGTACACTTAATAATCAATACAGCAATATTAAGTCTTAAGAAAGACATGGCAATAATATTCACACACATGATACATATACAAATGTACTCTGTTTTTTCATTTTCTCCTTCGTATATATTAAATTTTTAAATATAATAATTAACGTTTTCAAATATACTAGCAGTTAATATTTCCTGATGTTTGCAGTTTAAAAATCACCACAGTTTACTTATAGACGTTTATTTTTAGTTCTCAAAATAATAAGAAAAGGAAGATTTATTGATATGAATATGTACAATCAACTAAAAGCTTCATTGGATATATTATGTATATTGTACTTTTCATAAATTGATGTGTAAATTTAAAGAAAATAAGAAATTTTTGCTTATATATATATATATATAAGATATATCATTATATTGATCATCTTCTAAAATTTCATTAATGTTAGGATAATGGGGTATACATGATAAACAAAGAACAAACAACTCTTTTTCGAGACCGTTGAAAAAATAACGTTTCAATAAAATATTATGTTACACTGTACATATTTTTCTACAGATATTAATATTCAGCTAGGCACCAGCCTGGCGTATTTTTTGATAACTATTCACAACCGAATGAGGAGACAAGTTAGAAGCTTAATTAATAAAAATCAAATATTCATTTGAATATCACTATATAATACATGTCCTACGTTACTTAATTCTTGATGTACAGCTTGTAACGATAAGATTGTATAGAATTGATTTTATAGAATTAGATCACTCCTTTAAAGAGAATCATGGTCTCCCAATTTATTGTATTTAAAAAAATAACAAAGAATAAAGATGTTCAGATACTTTTCCATCTTTCTTCTTTAAAAAGTTGTCTCATTACATTATTTAATGCGTATATTACTACTACCTTGCAGCTGGCATTTTTTCAAGAAAATCTTGTTCAATCACTGCTTCCAGTTGTGTAACATTCAATGGTGCCTGTGTATCACTCGATCTGCGACTCAGTGTTGTAAAAAAATAATGCAGATCTTGCAATGAACGAATGTTATTCGACGTTAGAAGTAGTTCACCGGGTACAGCTTTCACAGTGTTTCCTTCCTGTTTATACTGGAATAAAGCAGATATTTCACATAGAATCATGAATGATTTTCGAACAATGCAAGAAACACCTGTTCAGTAATTTGTTCTGTTATTTATAACTGTAAAATAAGAAGTATAATATAATGCCAGCATATATATTATACATATTTTTATAAATATATCCTAATCTTATCTTTTATTTCTTCTTGCTTCATAGAAATGGAAATGGAAACCTCTAAATTAAACTTGGATTAAAAGTACAAATAAATATTACCTATGAAATTGTTAAAAAGTAATTTACTAGTATGTAGTTTATAATATCAAATATAATGTAAGCACTGAACTATTGAAATAGAGAGTGATTGGCATAGTTACAAAAATAAAATACATATATCTATATATAATTTGCATGATACTAAAATAAGTATTTCATCAGAATTGATGAAAGCAGACCAAAGTAGTGTGTGCATTCTATTTAGTTAAACCATACTTTTAAAATATTAAGATATAAAAATAATAAAAAAAGTCAGAGAATACTAATAATAACTAAATAAAAGCAGATTCATAAATACTTAGATAAGACAAATTTTGTTTAGTATAAATAAAATTAGGAAATTATAAATATATAATATTAAATATATAATATTTTCTTTAGTAACAATTAAAATAGATTTTATAATTAAGAGAAATATGTGAGTGAAGTTACATACAGTGTTCATTAAGTACATTTGTAATAAAAGACTGTACTCAGTTTACTGTCAATCAGTTTGAAAGTGACCATGGCAGTGACTGGATTAAGAACAGTTACTTGTTTCATTTTTTATTTTATCGTAGTGATAAATGCCCGTAAGTGTTATACACAATCACGTAAGTGTTTTTTAAATATTTAAAATAAATAGATATATGTCCAAAAAATTTTGTTTAATTGATCAATATGATGAACTTCATTGAGTTATAAATTATTGTTATAATAACATACAAAATCTTTAAAAAAGTTCTATTTAAATGTATCTTTTACTTATATTTTGGTAGTTTATATATACTACTATAATTTAAGACTGGTTTTTTAATTTATTACTCTATCTAAAATATAAAGAATCATTCTTTTGATGAGTTAAACATTTTTTAATACAATATTTATTTTGAATTACATAAATAAACGGGGAAAAATGACGATATGCTTAATGGTCCATTATATTTTTTCCGCTTTCAATAGACTTCGTTAAAGTTAATTGACTGCAATTAATAGAAATTAAATGATATAAATCACACAGTAAGCTTACTTGAATAATATTTTACTATGAAAACCGAATTAAACTTTTTATCGTATTTATTTGCAATGTATTATAATTACACTGTATTTTGTAGAATATACGGATGATTCTGATTATAAAGATTTAGAATTTTACGAAAATATGCCGGCCAATTACAT